TTTTGGGAAACTGCTTTAAATGGAAGACATTACGATTTACAATTCCTGCGGGGGGAAGGTGAACTTACTTTTCCGAGCTATCATAGAGGCAAACAATCACAGTTTGATCGTATGCAACGGGCATTATCGAAAATGTATGCTACTGGATTCTGCGCAATGGAGCGTTGGCGAAACATAATTTTGTCACTCTGCTGTGTTGATGCTCCCTTGGGGGAAAAATATTGTCTATACACCTTGTCAGCCCTTTACATTACATAGCTGTACATTGGTATACATACAACATTCGTTGGGACATATGTACGTTCGTGCGTGAGGTAGACTTCCATTGCACTTGTATATGTATCAACATATTGGGGAGTCGTTGTGATCAACGGGTGATTAAAGAGTTATCACAATAAGTCGTGGCTTACAAGACCGCGGAGATAATTGCTAAATGGCTTTTAAAAAGTAAAATCGAAATTTCTCTTAAAAATGTAAAGTTGGGCATAGGAAAGGAAAAAAAAAAAAAAAAAGAAAAATGGTAGGTTATAAAAGTGTTGTAACAATGATATGGATACCAAGTTGAACTTTCAAAATTGACGAAAAAAAGAAAAAAAAGGTTAATAAGTGGTCGCATACAAAACAGGCAATAAGGCATACACAGTAAGATTACGAATACACATATGTAGAGATGTAAAAACACATAGAGACACTCGCACACGTATCAGGACAACAGCTGACGCTACATGACGCTTCAAAGGAAAGGACGCCATTCAAACAAAAAATACATCCACGAAAATGTGCAAAGAGGGTTAAAAATGAAGTTTAATTATGAGCTTGGGGGTTTGTTTTGCGGTGGAGGCGTCGCGGGCACTGCTTTACACCTCCTGTGCAGCTTTCCCTCTCACGTTTTTTTACCCTTTCACGCTGCTTCCTGAACTTTTTTCAAAATATTAACAATTGATTGATAGGAACCGAAAAAAAAAATGAGCTTTAAAAAGTTAATTAAATTATGGGGTAAAGGGGAGCCTCCTCACTGATGTACACATGCGAGCAGGAACGCATGAACATAGACGCATGGACATGAACGCCTGCATGCGCATATCGCATATCCACATACCCGCATATGCGGCGCATGAACACAAGAAAAATACTAAAAAGGTCACTTAAAAAGGTTCTAAAAAATAAGAGGGTTGGTTAAGCGCGGCCCAGGCACGCTTGCGCAACTGACTGGAACAACTTCTTTATCTCTGATGCGGCGTGGACAAATGGGCATTCCCAAAAGTGAAATCTGCAGTGAGGGGGGGGAGAAAGGTACAAAGGGTTACACCGGTGGTGAGCTGGACAAACGCACGTCGTGCTCGAGGCATACACAATGTGCGTAAAGTGTACACACCACTGGCTCAATGGCTCCCTCCCTTACTTGGCATTTTTTATCAACTCGATAAAGGTTATCAGCAATCCCCAGGGGTGAGGCCTATGCGCAAGGACGCGCTCCAGCAGCACTCGAATTATCTGCTCTTGAATGACAACATCGTTCGATTGCGAAAACAGAAATAAAATGAGGCAAGAATAATAGTGGGTGTGCGAATTGGGGTACCTAATATGATTCACAATATTTGACAGGAGCAAGTACCTCCCTTCCATGTCCAGCTCTTTGCATAAAAACAGGAAGAGAGTGTAGGCCAAATTATTCTTTACAACAATAACGTTCCTTCGCTTCTTCCTTCTTTGCAAAATTGCATCTCCGCGGTGGTCACTGTCATTATCGGCATCGTCATCCATGAGACCCATCACCAGATTTTCACCATTTTCGTCATCGTAGCTACCAGAAAACTCCTGTTCTTCATTTTTCCCCTCGTTGTTGTCCCTCATAAGTTCTACATATTTTTTGGACAAGTTGGGTTCCGACTGGTCTTTATTATGTATTTTTTGCTCTTTATTATGCATCTTTTGTTCTTTATTCTGTATTTTTTGTTCTTTATTCTGTATTTTTTGTTCTTTATTCTGTATTTTTTGTGCTTTATTTCGTTTCGTAGCGGAAACAATATTTTTTTCTTTTCTTTTCTCCACAGGGTCACGCAGAACAATTTCTTGCAGTAATTCCTCTTGATCATCAGGAACATTGCCATTGCTATCTTCACATTTGAGTAGCAGTACAGGGTCACAGTTGCTGTTAAATTTGAACATATTATTCACCTTGGCTCTACAAATGCTCGTTCCTACGTACATAATGAGGGAGTTTAAAACATCCACGTCATACTTAGCAGAGTAGTGGTATGTCTTCCTTTTCGAAAAAAATAATTTGTCCTTAATATGCAAGAGTAGAGTAAAATCCGGATTTGTGAAATACTCATCAATTAGATTTTTTAATTTCTTTTTGAAGAGAGGGAATATGATATTTGTCAAAATTTTTGGCACTAACTTAATTTCTTGTAACAAGTCAATTTTTACATCTGACATGAACGGGTCAGGCAATTTTACGTTTCTTGGGAATGCGGACAGAACAAGGTTTCGTAATTGGATACAATTCAGTGGAAACAAACTGCAGAAGGTCACATAATAGCAGCATAAAAAATCTGGGAAATCATGTAGCAGCACCAGGAGGATTCTTACTGTTCCTATGTACAACGCCTCTATCGCTTTCGATATCTTTACCTTTTTTAAAAAAAAATTCATAAAGGTGAACAAGGCAACTAGCAACTCTTTGTATGCTTCCCAGCCACAAATCTTGGCCAACATCTTCGGCATAAAATATTTGGACGATATGAGCTCTAGCCATGAGAAACAAAATGATGGGACTCTTAACGGGGACAACAAAGAAAAGCAGTTCGCAAAGCAGTCCATATAAATGTATATGTCATTTGGATGCACACAACTTTCGTTGATATCGACCAGCAAACAGTGTAATAGCCTAAAGTAGGGTCTCTGATTAAATGTCTTCTTTTCAGTTTCGCACTTTTTGTGTATGACTCTGCATATAACATGGAGGGCCCTCTGTAGGATTATTACTGGGGACAGGTGTTCTTGCTCTACTAGCTTGCTCATCGTTATGACCATTTTACACCAGGCATCCACATAGCTGTAATTTAGTAAGTCGCTCGTTTTGTGCGTTTCTCTTAACTCTGCGTCGTTTGTTTTAGCCTTCATGAAATTTTCATTGCCCTGTTCCTTTTCCCCTTCGTTCGGTGCTATCCAGTTGCAACGGCCATTGATTTCGGTAGGTTCCCCCTTTTGTAGCGACTCCTGGGGCGATTCCTTCTTATGTAAGTGACGCTCGTTCGTCTGGATCACTTCTTCTGCATCCGTTTTGCGTGGCATGTCTCCCTCTACGGGTTGTCCGTCCCTGTTGCTTGGACTGCCCCCATTCACTGTGTCACTCAGTTTGACATCGTGTGCCGCTTTCTTCAAATTCTGCACAGCTATACTAACCGAAATGTTAAGCGAATGAGACAGAAACTGATTCGTAAAGTGGTCCATGCCAAGAAAGCCAATGGTGCATAATTTCACCAAATATTTTACACACTTTGAAATGTGTTGCTGCTTGATGATCTCCAGCATGGGGTTCCAAATGCTCATCTTCAAAATATTTAAATAATTCTTATACAAAATGTTCCACTCCGCAAAAAGGTACGCAATGAATAACCCTCTTTCTTCTTTCACTACAGGTGGGGCAGGCAAAAATTTACACCTCACCGGTTCGTACAACAAGTCGCGTACGTAGTAATACTGCATGTACTTTTTTGGGGGCTTCTCATTCAGGTTGCTTTCTTTGACGGTGGGGACGTCATTTATTAGGCTGTTTTTCTGGCTCTCGGGGATCTTCAAACTTGTATCCTTTTGTAATTCGGACTGCATGGCGAGGTAGGAGGCTGACAAGGTGCTCAGGGCGGACGCGCTCGACACGGACGAGACGACGGAGCTAGACGAAGATGTGTCATTGTAGTGGTTTCTTTTCTCTTCCGCTTCGTCCTGCTCTTCGTCCTGCTGTTCCTCTTCCTCTTCGCCCTGCCTGCTTGGTGAAAACGAATTGGAGGAGGTCGATGAATAATCTGACATTTCTGAGTTTTCCGATTCAAAAGAGTACAATGAGGAGGAGCTAAAATGTTTCTTCCCTTGGGCTTCATTTTGTTCCTGTTCGGTACTATCCCCTAAGTTGCTAACGTTTCCATCCTCCGTTCTAATAGTGCTACGATTTATAGTTACCGCAGATCCATTTTTTAAACCATGGTTGATGTATTGTTCCTTGTTATCGCTGTCCGTGTTCTCCCCATTTGGATTAGCACTTTCGCTGTTTGCAGGGTCGCCTTCTTCGTTAAAATCGTTGCTCACAATTTCCTTCCTGATCATTTTCTCCGTGTTAATGGTTTTATTTTCTAGGCTCAGTCTTTCCAACAAATACATGGTGCGCTCACCTACGTTGTTATGGTCATAGTGAATTTTTACGTTTGCTATAAAAAAGGAGTTTCCAGCGTTGGGTGACTTGTTACTACTCTGCGGGGATGTGATGGATGATTCATTCGGGCACTCGTTGCTGCTATTTTGGTGGGTCACTGAAATGGGCATCGTCTGCTTGTTGTTTTCTTTGAGCACTTGCTCCTTCTGTTGATGACACGTGTTTGGGGTTGCTGCGTCTTTTTTGCTACTACTCTGCTTTTGGGTGTCTTTCCCATTTACCTGGTCGTTCGTGCTCTGTATCTCCTCGTCTTTCGCTTTCCCAGATTCACTACCTTTGCACGCGCGATCAGCACTTTTCTCCTTCCTTGTCTTCTCTCCGCCTCCCTTCCTCGGGAATATATACTCCGTCAGATTGATGCGCGTTTTTATGGACTCTTCCTGTGGTTCCTTGGTCTGTTTCTTCAAAGATTGAAGCCCCTCAAACATTTGCTTCAATTCCCTCTTGGTGTTTTGCAGAATGGTCTCTTTCGTAGGAGGAATATAAACATGTTGATTATCACTACATAACATTTTATTTATCATGATTAGCTTTTTAATGGTCTTCCTAACATGATCCGCAGGTAAATACTTCTTCTTAATAACTACATAATTGATGAGCTCCGTGCAAAATGAAACAGAATAGAGGTTGTTACTATATCTGGATATTTTACACAACATTTTGTCTAACGCTTTGTGATGAATGATGTTGTAACGGATGAATGGGACCATGTGATTTACGTTGTAACTCTGGTTGTCTTCTATGTAGGAGGTAACTAGCTTCTTTAGTTCTTTGTAGTTTCTGCACATTTGGTCTAATATGCACAGGAGTACCTCCAGGTGGAGGAACAGTTCGTTAAAGTAGCCCGGATTTGTGTGCGCAGATGTGTTCTCACTCGCGCTTGCATTCGTTGTGCTTTGGAAGGGCGTGTCGTCCTTACGGCAGAGGTTGCTGCTAATAGTGCAATCGCTTTCGCCAGTTACACGGTTAGGACACATCTCGTCTTCTTTCCCACTGTGGGCCAACAAACTGAGGGTCTCCTCCCTTTCACTCTGTTGGCCTCGCCTTAAAAGAACAAGCATTTTTTTTATGGCCTCCTGAACAATCTTAAACAGTTTGGTGCCTATAATTTTGTAAGTCTCACTCTTATCTGCAGCAGATTCACATATCAAAATAAGTAACTTGCAAAGAACAAAGATTTCGTGATCAGTCGGAAGGTAAGTTAGTACTAAGAGGGAGTGCGTAGCTGCGCATGTTAATTTTTCGAACTTATAGTACGGCGTCTTCACATTACAGTAGCTTTTAAAGTTATGCACTGCGGGCATGGAGGGGGGGAAGACTTTTATATACTTCACAAAGTCTTTAATGCTTACCATGACAATTTCGAAAAGTGGGATTATTTCTTTTACACTCATTTTGTTGATGCTTTCACTTAGGAATATGTTCGATATGAAGAAGAGGAAATTTTGCTTGCACGAGATATTCACGTTTTTTATTTTCTTCAAGTACAGGATGGCGCCATCTCTTCGCTGTCCCTTCTCGCCGGCGTTACCACTCCGGAAGTTGCCGCTAAGATCGTTTCCGCTAACATCCTTGCCGCCCGCTCCGTTATCACCAGCAGGCGAGGTCCCCTTCTCCGCTTCCATCCTCTGCATCATGATCGCAGCGTTCCGCTTCCCTGCGACCACTGGGCCGTTCGCATCCCTGCACATTGAAGGGTCCATTTTGGAGTAAGTGTCATTGTCCTGTTCGGGAGCACACAAAACTGAGTTCTTCCCGTTATACGTGAAATTTCCATTTTTCAGATTTCTCACAATGTCCGTCTTCATGGTGCCGCCCTTGAGGTTTTCCATGTAGTCATCATGCTTGAAAAAATCGTTAAAGGCTTCTTCTTCATGAGGGATTCTCATTCCATTGGTGTTTCCATTCAGGTTGCTCATCGTGACGGGCATGCCACAGGGGTAGCCTCTGTGTGTAAATTTGGGCGTAACAAACGTGGGCGCAGAAGTGGCAATAATAGGCGAAGAAGCGCCAAATGGTTGTGAAGAAGCAGCAAAGACGGGCAAAGAAACGGCAAAGTTAGGAGACGAAGCAGGATGGATGGGCGAAGAAGCTGCAAAAGGGGCGAGCGGAATCGCACACCCTGGCGCAGATGCAACACCGGGTAAGAGTACACAACTGCCACTTCTGTCCTCGTAGTTGTTATGATGTCCCGACTGTGCGCTGATATCCATTTCGGCGAAGTTCTTCCCACTGTGTTCATACTTCCCAGCGTAATTATTCCCCAGAGTGATACCCGAGAGGTTATAATTTTCAACGTTCACATACCTATTATTTGTATTAAAATTATAATCATTATTATTGCAGTTATAATTATTTGGAGATTTAAATATATACATAGGGTTAGGGGTGTTGTGTGAATTATGCTGATTCACGAAGTTTGCCCCGTGGGGGTTGTCAACACCGCGGGCGCTGTCAGTACTGTTAATATTATTAATGCCGTCGGCATTGTTAACACTGTTAATATCGTTAATCTGGTCAACCGCGTTAATATTGTTAGTACTGTCAATATTGTTAACGCTGTTGGCGCAGTTCGCGCTGCTGGCTTTATTAGCAGTACTAGCACTATTAGCGTCGTTAGCCCAATTAACCCTATCAGCAATATTAACACCACTGACGCCACTAAGACTATTAACACCACTGACACCCTTAGGATTGCTAACAGTAGGAACATTCATAATATGATTCATATTATTAATGTCCTTCATCTCGTTAACCTCGTTGATCTCATTCAGCTCATTCATCTCATTCAAGTTATTCACACTATTTATGTTATTATTATTATTATTATTCATATTATTACCTAGGTGAAAATTCGCATTATCTTTCGAGTCGTTACTTTTTCCGTGCGCGTACTTTGCTACGTTTCCTTCGTAACCTGTGCTAGCCGGAGTTCCACTTTTCTGAGACGGCATTCCAACGATGCCGTTTCCGCAGCTCTCTCCTACGTTGCCGATGCACCCTCCGCTGTTTTCGTTATTCTCCTGGTTGTCTGCACTGCTTTCGTTATAGTACTTTTCGTCCAGGTACCTATTCGCCTTGTCGCCGTCCTCCTTTGAGTCCTCCTTGCGGTTGGTCTTGAGTGGGCCGTTCTTACCATACTCTCTATCCTGCTCCTTCGAATATCTGACCATTTCTTCGTTCCTTCCATCCAGCGGATTCGAAATGTACTTTCTGTTGTTGTAGAAGTGGGTCTCCCCGGGCGCTTCATTCGGCACGTTTTCGCTGTTCTTCCTATTCTGATAGCTTTGGTAGTTCGCGCTGACTACTCCGTTGGGGCTGCCTACCCTGTTGGAGTCGTCTTGGACATTCCCACCGCTGGCAAAGTTAGCCTTACTTTGGTAATTGTCGCCATTTTGGTAGTTCCCGCCATTTTGGTAGATGCCTCCACTTTGGTAGTTCCCGCCACTTTGGTAGTTTCCACCACCGTGGTAGTTGCCTTCACCTTGGTAGTTGCCTTCACCTTGATAGTTGCCTCCACCTTGGTAGCTCCCACCTCCCAGATAACCCGGGGGGACGTTTTCACTTTCACTGGAGCCCCCCTCATGATCGACTCGCCCAGGAGAAAACGACTTCTGTTGCAAGTTGGATAAAATCTTCAAATTCATAAAATTCTTATACACTTGAATATGCTTCAGGGTTATATTATGGGCCTTCAAAAAGATGGGCAGAGCGTTGTAGTATTTATTGTTGGCATTTTCCCTAATGTTTAATTTGTGAATACGTGCATATTTTCTGGAGGCATAAATGGGCTTCATGATTTCTTGGATTTCGATGGATGATTTTTCGATGGCCACTTGTTCGATTATAGAATAAATTAAATTTATATTTTCATTAATTAATGCTTTCACGACATCGTCCACGATTGTGCTACTGACTTCTGGGGGGCAATTTTGGTCAAAAACGTTTCTCAGATTTTGTATTAAAATGTTCCTTAATGGTTTTTTGCAGGATACTAGAACGAGGGAGGAGGAGATGCTCGTGGCCATTAGTAGGGACGCCTTATGCATAATCGTCTCTTTCGATTCGTTTACAAAATCTTTCTTAACTAATTCTCTTGTAGTTATACATCCAATGAGGACAAAGCGATCAACAACGGAGGTGATTATTTCCTTGATGGCTGAATCGAAGGCTAAATAAATTAGCGCTTTGCACTTTAGGCTAAGCTTAACCGCTGCGACAATGTTCGTTGATATCACTATGTTCTTCTTCAAAATGCTTAATATTTCTTCGTTTAGCATTTCGTTAAATTTGTTGTTATTCACATTTTCTTGATACATGGGTGTGCTCTGCATTTTTTGGTTCACGTCGCTCGTCAGGCCATATGCAGATGAGGGCGTCGCGTTTCTGTTTCCCCCGTCATTACCGCTGCTTGCCATGCTTAGCATGCTGGCCTTTCCATTACTTCGGTTTTTGCCCTTGGACATGCCCACACTGACGTTTCCAACGCTGCCAACGCCGCTGAACACGTTCACTCCGACCTGCTCGCTCGCCTTGAACTTGTCCAACAACAGCAGAGGAAGTGGGGGCGCCGGAATGCCGCCACCACTCTTCACACCAAATGGTGGTTCTCCAAAAGTGTTCTTCAGGTTCAAGCTACTCGGTGGCGACGACACGTAGGACTCCTTGGGATTTTCATAAATGTCATTTTTCGACGGCATCTTCCCGGTTTTCAAATCTATGCTTCTGTATTGTCCATCGTGTTTGCTACTTACAGGGGGTTTATTTTTACCCATCAGATAATTTGCAGCTCTGTACGAGTTTTCCTTAAAGTGTCCGTCACTCAGTTTGTCCTTCTTCTTAGTAGAAAATTGTAAATCCTTCAGTAGTGCCTCCTCATTGATGTTGTTTCCGTTTCCTTTCGCTGCTAACCCCTCGCTATTCAAATGGAGAGAAAAATCGACGCTCCTATTTCCAGCACTGGTACCGATGGCTCCACCACAGGGGATGCCATTCTCCCCTACATACATAAGAGTGTTAAATTTGCTCGGGTCATCAGCACCAGCTCCATTCATATAGTTAAAAACGGACATAGATTGACTTTCCCTCGTGTTGCTACTTGCGGATAATTTTTTCATCGCGTTATTATTCTTTACCATCATTTCGTTATTCATGTTATTTTTGGTCATCATTCTGAATCCATTTTCTAGACCTTTTTGGAACCCTCTGGAGGGCAAGGGTTGGGTCAAATTATAGCTCATAAATCTGCTTCTATTTCCGCTATCCATTCCCTTGTTATTGAGGAGGATCACATCTGCTGACGAGTTGAATGCCATGTTGTCGGCGTCGTTTTTACTTCCGTTGCTGAGGAGGCCCTGGCTGTTCATCATTGCGGGGTTGTTACCGTTACTATTGTTGTCGCCGCTGAGATTATTGCCGCTGAGATTATTGCCGCTGAGATTATTGCCGCTGAGATTATTGCCGCTGAGATTATTGCAGCTGAGATTATTGCAGCTGAGATTATTGCCGCTGATGTTGTTGCCGCTGATGTTGTTGCCGCTGAAGATGTTGCCGCTGAAGTTGGTGGCGTCCATGAAGGCACAGGCTTCCATAGCGTTACTCGCTTCCTTCAGATCTTCGCCCTTTCTACTTTTAATTAACAAATTGAAGCTGCCATTTTTATGGCTCACAAACTCGTTCGCGCTGATGTTATTGCTAGTTATGGTCGTCATGATGGAGGACGTGGTATTATAATTATTCATAGCATTGAATCGGGGGTCCTTACCAAGTAGGAATGCATCGGCTACTCCATCGGCTGCGACTGCCTCCAGTGGTCTACTACCCCTCTCATGATTTCTCACACTTCCAGTAACGCTACCATTTGCTCCATTTTGATGCACGAAATTTTCTCCGTAAAAATTGCCACACGCATTATTATTGTACGACTTGTTAAACATATGCACTTGCCCTGGGGTTAGGTATCCCCCGGAGTGGTTACTATTATCCCCCATATAATTCACACCCATGGTGCCGTTCTCGTTGAAGTTATTCCTAACAAATAGATCATTCGTATTTATGGGCAAATTACGACACTTGATAATGTTGCACTTGTTGTAATAATCAAACACATTAATCTTAAAATAGTTAAACAGCAATTCTATTTCAAAAATTAAAATGGTCTTCAGCGATTGCGCTTCGTGCAGTTCACCAAGTAAATTTAAAATGCCAACGGTCCATGGATTGGGCGGCTTAAAAATCTTGCTATTTTTTATACTCTCTAAAATTTTACACACAGCCGGGAAGGTGACTATCATGTAGCCATTATCGTACGAGTACAAAATGAGCTGCTTAATGTTCATATGCTTTGACATGAGTGGTTTGTTTCTGCCTATTGTTATTATGCCTATCCAGGCGCCTAAATTTTTTAATAGTAACCTATACGTGGAGGAATCCTTTGTGATCTCTATAAAATTTAATAAGGTGTTAAAAATTTCACAAGACAGATGCGTAATGTGGTCAAATATCTTGTCCATTTTGATGGCACTGAGTAGGTGTAAATAGATGAGCATATCTTCGGATGTCTTCTTTTTGATAATAAATTTTAACAAGTTAAAGAAGAAAACGTCTCTTCTTATGACGACATCTTCCTCAATTTTTTTTTCTTCGTATCGGTCGTTAATTCCGGTGATGTACTTGCTATCATCGTTTTGGTCGTCTTCACTGCTATCGAGGTAAAATTCCACATCCGTGCTTTCGCTCACAGAAGAATTTTCCTCCACTGGGTTGTCATCACTCGTTTTGGGAAATCCGATCAGATTTACGCCCTCCTCTTGATACCCACAAGTGGACGATTCATTTTGCCTGTGATTAGTTGCACTTCCTCCACTGATTCGGTCTTCTTGCCCAAGTTCGTTTATGGCACTCCCGTCGCTTTTATTTCCTCTGCTCTTTTCATTCTCCACGTTGGCGTTGCTCCTATGGGCGGTGTCCTTCGAGTCGCTTTTTTTCTTCTTATGTATGTTGGAAGCTTCTTCCGTTGGGTCTTCTTTACCCTTCTTGGAATTCTTCCCTTGCTTGTCCGCCGAGCCACTCTTATCCTCCTTCGCGGTGGCCTGGTCAGTGCCTTTGTTTTGACATTTAAAATCGCCTTGTGCGTTAGGGTTGCCTTCCACCGTTTTATCTTCGCCCTCTTTTTTATTCTTCGGGTCGCTCTTATCATTGACGCTGTTCGCACTGTTTGCATTATTCGTAGTATTCGCGTCGCTGGAGTGGGATTCGTTGAGGCTGGCGCTGTTATCGGCCTTCTCACACTTGTCGTTATTCTTCTTATTCTTTTTTTTCTTCTTCGGCTCCGCCTCCTTCTTCGGTTCGATGGCCTCGTTCAGCCGGTTGACCTCGCTCGCTTCGCCCACCTCACCGCCGCTGCTGCCACTGTTGCTCTTCCTCTTCTCCATGGCACCATTGACCAACGCGCCCTTTTCCCGGGCTTCGTGCTGCCCAAAGGGATCACCTTCCAACTTGGCAACTTTATCGGACCCCCCGTCAGCATACCCCTGAGTGTTGCCACCACCATCGTCTGCGTTACCATAAGGAGCGGTGGTATTATGCCCTTCCTTAGCTGGAACCTTTTCCTCCTTCATGAGCCCTTTCTTAATTTGTATCAATCGCTTCAGTTGTCTGCCCTTAATTTTAATACTCTCTGGATTAATATCATTTAAAATTTTACCTAGCTTAGACATGAATTTTTTGGTAATAATTTGTTCAATCAGGTATTCCTTATTCTGATAAATCTCATTAAAAGCAAGGTTTAGCAAGTGCAGTGTGTTGGCTTCATTATAGTTTAGACTATCTTCCAGATTCTGGTTTATCTGTTTGTCACTTGTTATGCTCTCCTTCATCGTTACAGCCATTCTGTTACCCCCTGCATCTAGTTTTAGGTCCTCCCTGTTGTAAAGTATCCACTCGTTCTTAAGCATGTGGTTAAAATTATCATTTTCGTGTTTATTAAGTTCGTTCATATTCATTTTGAGGTAGCCATTCTGCATCATCATCTTATCTTCTTCATACTTTTCTTGCAGACTTCTATTTAAAAAGTAGCCGTTATTTTTTTTCTCTTCGTGAAATTTGTTCCCACTTGGGCTGACGCTCAAGTTGCCAGTCATATGTAGATACATTTTTTCCTTATGTTCATTGTAGAAAAGGTCGCTGTTGTTTTGCATCATTACATTGTTTCCGTAATTTGTGTACTGCTCCTCTAAGTTTCCTACGTCCATGTGGGTGGTGCCCCCTCCCCCTGGACCTGCTATCATACTTTGCATGTTGTAGTTCCCTTCATACAAGCCGTTATTACTCGGGTTAAACAGGGTGTTACTGCCTGTGTTGCTGTTTATTCCATTTGCACTGCCCAGGCTATTTTCCACGTGCAGGTACTTTGGATTATTGGGGTCCATGCTGCCCCCATTGGTCAAACTGAAATTATTGTTGCACATGTGAAGAAATTCGTTGTTGTTAAGGTTGAAGAACGCTCCCGCGTTGTTGTGCGGATCGGCGAAGCTGTTCATGCCGTTTAGGGAGCTCATGTCATTTGGGCTTCCCATTCCGTTCAGGCTACCAGGCATCCCATTTAAGTTGTACATCGCGTTTAGGCTGCTTGGTCCGCCCGGTCCCCCTGGCATACCCAATCCGTTCAATCCTCCGGACACGCCCATTCCGTTCACTTGGCTAAACATTCTCATCTCCATGTTGCTCCCGTTGCAACTGTTCATGCTGTCATCGATACTCATAATGCTATCATTATTATCAAAAGCATTAGAAGAATTTGCGTACATTTTGCTATTCACATTATTGGGTAACTCATTCATTCTGCAAACAGACGAAGCGATGCTGTATTTGGTTTTGCTCTTTGATCTGCCTGAAATAATGTTCGCATACGAGAGGGCATTATTTTGATGGCTCTCCACACTTCCACAGGGATGATAAGCAGTGCTACTAATGGTATAACTAGCCACATTTCCGATAGATACATTTCCGCTAGATACATTTCCACTAGATACATTTCCGTTAGATACATTTTCACTAGTTACATTATTACTTCCACTGTTTGTGTTGTTCCCACAGGTGGCCGCACTGTTGCTGATCTTCCCATTATTTCCTTTACTCATAATGGAATCCTTTACATTCTTCTTTTTCTTGTCCCCTCTTCCAATAGTGTTATTATCCTTCGTGCTGAAGTCATTTCTTCTATCCGCACTGTTATTTTTTCGATTTCCTCCTCGGCTATTTTTGTTAGTATCTTTGCTGTCGTTTTTGTCATCCTCCTTATTGCTTTCGTTGTCGTCATCTTTATGGCCATCCTTTCGCCCATCTCTTCTACCATCCCTATGACCATCTTTATCATCATCCTTGCCGCTATCCCGATTGCTGTTCCCGATTCGGTTCCCGTTATTACTGCCATTACCGTTACTGCTATTATTCCCGCTGCTGCTGCTATTATTATTATTGGCATTTCCCCTATAATTGTTAACCTCCTTGCTGTTCCCATCTGCTGCTTTGTTTGTACCCCCCCCTTTCCCTCCGCTGCTGTTTTGCTTCTTCCTGCAGCTGTTGTTATTCGAGTTCCTTATCTGCAGCTTGGTTTCTTCAACGGGGGATACATCAACGTTTGGAAGTTCAATGATCCCGTGGACCCTTTCGACCACATCAATATGATCAGCGCTTGTCGGGGGGAGAGTGATCCTGGTGCCCATCACTGGATCAATGCTTCCTTGCAAAGCGGAAACGCCATTTCTGTCCTTCCGGCGTACATTTTCGCATATGTTGTTGATACCACTCGGGGGATTGACACTAGTTATGTTGGTGAAGCTGGCAATGTTACTTTCGTCGTTCACTCTACTCACACTGTCGCTACTACCCCGTGACATGCTCGAAAGGGGTGCATGTCTCGAAGGGGGCTCGCAACTGTCTGTCTGATCCGCGTCGGCACCGCTTTCGCAAAAATGGTTATCTACATCCTCTGTTGCATCTCTGTGATTACTGAACATAATGTCCATATGATGCTGACCGTTATCCACATTGTGACCATCACATTGGCCATTCCTTCCATCATTTATTATCCTTTTGCTAGCTTCGCTCAATAAGTGCCTAGCTTCTTTTTCCACGAACGGATTTAACTCTGCCCCGTGGACACAATTTGCGGAGGTAACAATTGACGTGGGCATATTTTCACGGCCTACTAACCTCTTATCTGCCTCCTTCTCTGCACACGGGGAATAATTAACCCTGTCATTTATACTGTTTTTCTCCACACAGATAACCCCATTCCGTGTGCACCAACTGTTACCCTGGGTTAGATCATTATTGTTTACACGACTCCGCGAATCGTTTTTTTCACTGAGGGGTACATTCCGTTTGAATGAAAGGGGGCTACTCTTGCGTCTATTTCGTCCAGCAGCCTTTATCCCATTCTTTAACTCACTTTTTATTCTATTCCTGCTGAGGTTATTCCTCGAGTGGCTTTTACTTGCGGAGGTTTTAAGCTTCCCCACATGAGTGGACCCTCGGTTGGTATAACTGCGGGCGCTTATTGTACTATCAGTGCTGCTCCGACGGGTGCTGCGACAGGTGCTACCGCGGCTAATGCTGCCGCGTCCAGTGCTGCCGCTATTGCTGGAGGCGCCCTCGCTGGTGCAGCCTTCGCTGCCACTCGTGTCAGTCGGGTGGTACGAACTCACATCGTTACTTGTGCAGCTGTGATTGCCAATTTTGGCTCTCTCACTCTCTTCCTCATTGTCAGAGTTCGTTGAGTTATCGTCGCAACCCAAAGTGGCTTTACTCACATGTCCATAGGTTCCTTTTCCACAATCATGGCTTTTTTTGTTAATAAAACAAATGTGCTGTTTTATACTCATAAAATGGGTGCCTCTTTCATGATAATCCATTCTCATCTTTTAATGGTACAAAGGGTTCATATTTCACGTAGCGCATCCGAGCAGGGGTGCCACAGGTGCATGAATGGGTGCGTATGTGGATGTGTCGAATGTGCACGTGTCGATGTAGTTCGGCAAGTACATATGCATACATGTCACGGCTGCGTGTCCTTACTCCCTCTCCTTTTTGAGAATCCACAATTGATGCGTTTAGGAACAATGTGACAAATTCAAAAAGCGCTACTCGTCAAAAAATGGTGGGGCGCCCAAGGGTTCACACGGCGAAAAACAAAGGGGTTAAAAAAATGCCTTGGATTCACGCAACTCGAGCCAATTAAAAATATGCCGCGATGATGCATCAGCTACATGCGTGCATATACGTCCTCAACGTAGATAAAACATTTATGTACAATTTGTTGCTCTCCAGTTGTTAAAAAATAAGAACTATGCGAAGCTACGTGGAGGGAGAAAGGCCGCAAAATGGTGCGAAATGCCGCTAAGTACCGCTAAACAACGATAAACAACGCGGCATGGCGCTAAATGCTCTTATGTGGGATTGCAAGAAACCTCAAAAGAGGGGAAATGAACGAAGGAGGCATATATGTAAAAAAAGTGGGATGAAGGAAACGAACGAAAAACTGCAGCGCGCAAAATGTGACACAAACTGATCTGTAAAGAGGCGCGCACGCGAAAATGAAGCACAGGAGCTCTGGAACGTACACGAACGAGAGCCACAAAAAAATGTTACAGGAAAAAAATAAAACGCAACAAAACGAATGAACATGAAATGAATGGAAAAAAACGATTAGAGAAGAATATGGAGAAAAATAAAAAAAAATAGAGAAAAATGGAAAAAAACGAATCCTGAAAAATGAAGAAACTGAAACATGAGAAATGTAAGCGTAATAATATTCAAAGAAAGAGGCAAACAAGTTATTATATATATTCAAATGCAAGCTTCGCACGATTACGTGTATGCAGTGACAGTACGTACAGTACAGTGTGGTACGACACAGTACAGCGTACGTACTATACCGTGCGAGTGAACTACTGGGTATATGTACATATGGGCGTATGGTATACTTATAGTCATTTTACGCTATCCGAAAAAAAAAAAGCATAGCGTTGTGCAATGCGGCGTTCTTACATACAGCATGTACGTACATACATGTGCTACTGTAACGTATTTATTTGTACGTCGCGCATTGTACGTTTTGAACAAAAAAGGCGCGTTTACTTGGCCGTGCATGCAGCGCGGGCAGCTATGAAACACGAACATCTGGAAATGCGAAATAGGAAAAAATGCAAGTAGGAAGAAATGCAAATATGAAAAAAGGGCAAGTAAGAAAAAAAAGGGCAAGTAGGAAAAAAAAGGGAAAGTAGGAAAAAAGAGGCAAGTAGGAAAAAAGGGCAAGTAGGAAAAAAGGGCAAGTAGGAAAAAAGAGGCAAGTAGGAAAAAAGGGCAAGTAGGAAAAAAGGGCAAGTAGGAAAAAAGGGCAAGTAGGAAAAAAGAGGCAAGTAGGAAAAAAGGGCAAGTAGGAAAAAAGGGCAAGTAGGAAAAAAGAGGCAAGTAGGAAAAAAGGGCAAGTAGGAAAAAAGGGCAAGTAGGAAAAAAGAGGCAAGTAGGAAAAAAGGGCAAGTAGGAAAAAAGGGCAAGTAGGAAAAAAGAGGCAAGTAGGAAAAAAGGGCAAGTAGGAAAAAAGGGCAAGTAGGAAAAAAGGGCAAGTAGGAAAAAAGGAAAGTATCAAAATCTGGGGATGTCAAAACATATACAAATTGCAGCATGTAGTATGCAGCATGGCGTATGCAAATGCTCCAACATATGGCAGCATTCGCGCGCTTGCGTACCTACGCCATGCGCCTGTGCTTGTTTACCCTTTGCATTCGCATACCTCGCGCCGTTCTTCTCACCCCCCTGGCGCAACCCCCTTTTGCACGCCCCCCCACCCCTAGCTGTACTATACGTACGTAGATACAATATGATGGGCTATAATACGCATATAGGTGTAGCATACATGCGCACGCTAAATACATTCATAGCAACGCAGTGCACGTCGAAGGATCAGCACTCCCCAGTCAGATGAAAAACTCTCGGCAAATGCATGCCCTAACGTAAAATTTGCATTTGCATTGGCGAACGCACGAAACGCACTCCATTTAGGGAAAATTAAAAGAAGTGGTAAAGGAAGCGGCAGAGGAAGTGGTTTCACCCATCCAGAGAATTTTTACACCCTCTATTTTTCATTTCGATAAAGAAAGCAATTTTCAGCCCCTCCACATCCGTTTTAAATGCCCATCTCGCAAAAGCAAACTTGCAAGAAAATGTACGTTTTGTGAAGCAACCAAATGGTAGAGAACGATGGGGGATTGAAAAAAAAAAAAAAAAAAAAAAAAAGAAAAAAGAAAAAAAGAAAGAATGAATGAAAGGAAGAAAGGAAGAAAGAAAAAAAGGGTGGATAACAATCATAGCAGTAGAAAAAGAAAACATAACGAATGGGTAAACAAAGTGAAAAGAAAAAGAGGAAAAATTAGAGTAAAGATTGAGCGTAACAAACAGGGCAACTAGGAACATGTAAAAGATGCAAACAGGGGAGGCGCGCGTGAAGAGGACTGCAGAGAGGATCTCCACATCTACTGTAAATTTACATAAGGTAAAAATATCCACTTGGACTTTTTCATAAGTACGGTTAAATGTGCAAAAAGGAAAAAAAATTTGTATAAGGGAAAAAAAACACCAAAGGTTACCTACATTATGTATGCATGTATGTATTTATGTGGATAGATGTTACCCGCCCCGTTTACACACCACTTTCTAAATCGGCTCATTTGAAAAATCCCTGTTGGGGGTTACACAACGAAGATCCGCGAACTCACATGGGGGTCTTCTTTCTCCGCACATGCCCTTATACTTATGGTTCATTTTTTACGCCTTACTGAAAAGGGCGTTACTCAATTCTGCAATATTGGCCAAATGGGGGAAACACTTCGGGGCACATTCAAAGGGAAAGAAATAGGAAAATAAAAAAAAGCGGAAAAGTTGTAGTAGTAGGTGTGTACATAAACGAGTATACTTCGCCCATTATTCTTTTTACGCATTTATGCTGGGACATGTTTATACATACACATGCTCGTGTATTTATACGCAGATTCGCAGGTGTACAATTATCGACATGTGAAGATCGATAGGGACGGTTCTGAGGTCCTAAGCTGCCGCACACTCTTGTCGCGGTGGCTAAAATGCAATTCGTCCCGTTTGTAAGCCACACATGTTGGTTAATTTCCCATTGCTTCCACTGTGGTTACTATGCTCCTGTTATTATATTATATTACTCTTTTTTTTTTTTTTTTGCTGTAGTCATCATGCACATGGCCCCCGTGCACACACGCGCAGGTGACCTATACATACAGCAAAAATTGTGCAGTCCCCGTGAACGAACACATGTGGGCGTACTTCCCGTGCAACGGATTGACACGACATTCAGATGATATGCAATTACGATGAGTGGAAAACGAATTGTAAGAAAAAAAAAAGGACAATTTTGCAGGGCACGTAACGGAGCCAGTCATTGCTCCTTGCTAGTGTACAAAAAAGCTACATTTGTATACAGATATTTTTTTCACCCATGGGGAGATTTTCCCCGCGGTGTTATTTCCACCCATTAGTGGTCTTCAAACGTAGGGCCAAATAACAGCAGCGTGAGAAGCGAACGTGTTACCAAGTGATCACGCAAAAACGTGGCGAACGGGGGAACGCGTAACATGCACATTCCATTATCCCCGCGTGAGGGGGTACTTATAAATAGGTCATTTGAATCTATATATATATACATACATACATGTGATGCATAGAGAGTGGCACATATGCGGAGTGGCAACGAATCACCTCTAACCGTGACGTCAGTTCCTGTTTATTTTGCCTTCCAAATTAAGAGTCATCCGTGTAACCAGATAGGAAAACTTTCAAAAATTCGTAGCCATATTTTTTTATTTTATCTTCCCCGAATCCTGTCAGATTCAAATTTTTCATGTCGTCAATCGAGTTGGGGTGATGCAACAGGAGTAGTTTTAAATTCTTTGTGCTGATTACTTTTTCCGGATCTGTAATATTATTCGATTTAGACAAATTAACTCTGCATTGTAGTAAATTTTTTAGCAAGCTGCCATCTTTGCTATTAGCAGGTGCTCGTGATGAGTTCTCCTCCACCTTTGTTTGGCTTGTTCGCATTATGCAGTTGCTTTCGTATGGGTTTGACGATGTGCTGCCTGGTGTATGCGCTTTTCTCGCGTCTAACCCGTTCTGATAACTGGGCGGGTCATCCCGGCTGAGCCGGCAGTAATTATTCTGTAGGATGGTATCTTTCACGGGGTTATCCTCATATGGCTGATCAGGAGGATACTTCCACGTGTTGCTATGTGTTCCGTGCCCGTAATTCACACGGCTGTCACAATTATCGTGTTTGTCGTAGTTGCGACCGTCCTGATGGTACACATTGCTATGATAATCAGCCTGATCACATAGATTTCCCTCCTTCACCAAAAAGTTGTTATGTAAAGCAACCTTCGGCACTTTGCTGAATTGGGGATATGTGCACTCCTCCTTGTTGACCTTCCTATTGGTCATCTCGTTTGCTACGGTATCGGCGTTATAGTCCAGATGTCTCACCTCGGCACTGTCATGATGATCCAACGAGTCAATAAATTTTAACAACTCGTTGAGACTTAAGTACGAGTTGGGCGGACAGGAGTATCGTACCTTCCTGTCACTTAAATAATTTCGAATGTTCACGTTATTTGACGCGCTGTAGTATTTGTATGGGACGTTGTTATCCTCTAGTGATTTTATCTGCTCATGCAGGTTATTTATTACTTTCCCCTTCTTCATTTTGGGAGAGGGCGACGTGAGGGCGTCGGAGCGGGGCTAGTGAAGCGTGTCGCACATCAGACGAAGAGACAACCCCCCAAATAGCTTTACCCCGCGCACACAAAATATGGCTACGAAAAAGGGGACAACGGAACAGCGGTTAACTCGGAAATTTGTTTTCGCATTGTGCAAAGGGAAGGGGGATAAGCGAGCGGATAGGCCTCTATCCAGTTGCAGTTCAAAAGGGAAGAAAAAAAAAAATAATAAAATAAAGCCTCAAAATGGGCAGGATTACCGAAGGGGCGGCTGAAATGACCCAATGTGTACAAACAATTTGCAAGCCGTAGGAAGATTTTCACGCTTAGCGACAGCACGGACTGCCCATTTTTTATTAATTGCAATGCACACCTTATTATCCCTCGAAATTTGATCTTCCATAAGGATGGCACAAATAGGTAAAAAAAAAAATTGGCAAGCATGTATTATGGGCAGTATGACTCTTCAGAACTTCGTTCTAAAATTTTCACTCTCTTAATCTCATCGCAGTGTCCCCCCCATATTTTATCTTACATCTTACGCTTCACTTTTGCACTTGCTACCGATGGGTGAATGAATCGAGCACAACTGTGCTTATGCTCCTTCCCCGTTATTTCCTAAATCGTTTTTCCCCCCTTTGAGAGAAATCCTCATAGCAAACTCATGCACTTTAAAAATAGAAGAAAAAAAGACATATCATAGGTATGCCATAAAATGTCCTGCTTAGCAAACCTTAGAAAATTTAGCAGGAAAGTTCTCAATTTTTCTTTTCGTGTAAAAACGCCCCTCTTTTTTCTCTTCATATAGAAGGATATACGCAGGCACGGGGAAATGTTTTCCTTTTTTAATTTTAGCACTCTAACAGAGGTAAAAAAAAAAAAAAAAGAAAAAATCAAATCAAATCAGATAGAAACTCCCTTTCCGTTTTATACTTCAAAAAAATATGCTCCGCGTGAGTCAGATGTTTCAAAAATGGATTGTAGTTTTTTAACATGTGAAAAAAGGGGGTGTCAATTTTTTATATACAGTCCATACGTGCGAACGCGCGTGCTGCAAAAGTTAGGAAAACAAGGGCAGTGTTAGATGCACTTTGATTCAACTCAACTAAGTCGTTTCAGCTCTTTTCTGTTTTGTGGGGATTCCCCACCTTTTCAGCCATAAAAGTGCGTTTTTACAGCACAGAATGAATTAAGGTTTTCAGCCCAGCCTCATCAGACACTCGACCCACCCATGAGGGATAAAAAAGTTTGCAATATTCTTATTCGTCTCTATGAACTAGTAAACTCATTTACTTGTGCTATATCGTTAGCAAGGTCCACGCGTACATGGGCTAATTTTCCTTCCTTTTTTTTAGTTCTCTTTACAGTAGTAGCCGTTAATGCGTTTCATAATTGGCTAAAGGGATTCTAATAAGGCGGCTTTTACAACGTTTAACAAGTGGAAAAAAGGAGTAGGGGCAAACTGATGCACAGGTAGGCGGATGCCCAGGTAGGCGGATGCACAGGCAGGTGGATGCACAGGTAGGCGGATGCACAGGTAGGCGGATGCACAGGTAGGCGGATGCACATGGAAGCAGACGCACAGGTAGGCAGACACACATCTAAGCGGATGCGCAGTGGAAGCCGCCAAGCACCACCACTTAGTAGAACGATTTTTTGGACCGCTTCACTATAAGTTCCGCTGAAGTCCTCTTGGTGGGCGAACTTTCTTCCGAAAAATCGTTTCCGTACACATAATTCTTATTCTCTTCGTAGTTGTCGTCTTCGGTGTGTCTCCCCCTACTGTCATTATAAGCCGAATATGAATAATAATATTTATCAAATGGTTCAGATGAGTTCAGGTTATTTTCATTATGAGTAATCCCATTCCCTGTGCTGTCATATCTGTAATTACTAGGATACGCATTGCAATTTTCGTACTCGTTATGGGTACCCCCATCCTGATAATCATAATATTTGAGCGACTCTTCACCCATGTAGCGGCCGTCCATATGGGTTTCATTTTTAGAATAGCCCCTTTTATAATATTCATCATTTCCCCGGCTTGCTGTGCCTGTGACGCTTCGCTTCATTTTGGCAGCTGAATACATTTCGCCTTTTTCCCTTTTAGAGGACCCCACATCTGACGCATAACCATTGAATGCATCTTCCCCGGCGTAAAGATTAGAACCGTTATTTACGACTCTCTGAAATGTAGGATATGGAACTCCTTGTGCAATTTCTTTATCTGGTTTGTAACAAAATTGTGGAACGTCATACGGTAAAGGGACATCGATATAGACGTCCTTCGGAGGGCCAACTGGTGTAGGCACATAAATTGGCACCTCTATTTGTACATCTTCCACTTCAGGCACCTCGTAAATTTTTTCTATTACTTTTGTGTACGGTTTGTGAACAATATGTTCCTGTTCAATATCGATGTACTCTACTGGACCTGGTACATGTCTTATTTTTTCAATTTCTCTTATTTTTAATTTGGGGACAATTCTGACCTGTTCCACTGGGATGTCTATCACCTTTACGGAATCTACAAATCTGGTTACTTCTCTCACTTCCGGAACTTCGACAATCTTTGGTTCCTTGTGAAAAACGGGAACTTCCGCGTGTCTTTGAAAATGATGTAGTTTGCATCTATGTGCACTAAAAAGTGGAGACGCGCGAAGGTGTCTTCTTCTAATTACTGGGTTGGAGGGGCATAACCCCCCCATACTGCTGGCGTAAGATGGAGACCCCATTTGTATGTTATAGCCATCATAGGGGAAGCTAATTCTTCCGGGGGGTCTTACGCACAAATTTTCGCCGTCTAATTCCATCGATGTGTTATTTGATACTACTAGAGGTTGCTCACGGGTTGACAACTTTTCAAAAGGGCTAGCATGTCATGGGCAAATGGCATGCTATGTGTCACAAGAAAGGTTTCACGAGAAATGTGTCATATGGAAGGTGCCATGTGTTATACGAATTTCGCGCTTTTTTTGCCGAAATATGAACTTTCGATACAGCAGTGCTATCTCAAAAGGGCGCGCATCTGTCAAAGCATGCGTAAATGTTAACGCGTCTTCACAAAGTGTGCGTAAACGATTTAAAGGGGGGAGTTTTTTCTTTAAAGGCTGTTCTGGTATCTCTGCAATATTTTTCTTTGTGACAGAAAATTGAGAAAGAAAGGAAAAGAAAGAAAAAGAAAGAACAACGGAAAAAAAAGGTAAGAGAATCCTAACGTTAAAGAGTGTGATAAGTGCAGGTACTGCGTAACACCATTTTAAGCGTAAGATGCAAATAAGAGTGTTTCTTATCTGTATCGAATAAGGCCAGAAGCATCGACGCGGGTGGCAAAAAGAAACAAAAAGACAACGTTTTGGGAATTTTTCCTTAAAGCGTGACTGTGTGGGGAATTTCTTTTCTCAGCAGTAAAGCAAAAATAGAGAACATGATGAAGAAGGAAAAAATAAAAAAAAAGGCGGTTAAAATAAGGGTATAAAAAAGTGGAAGTTAAAAGAGGAGGTAAACACAAAGGGATGAGCACGCTGCGTTGATCATAAGGAAAATTTTACTGTCCTAAATTTTTCGTGTGTAAGGAATGGTATTTTAGTACCACTTTTACGCAAACGTGTATGTATATTTATCTGTGCACATTTTACCTGAACTGTTAGGAATTCTTTTTTTTTTTTTTTTTTTTTAGTTGTTACCAGAAAGGTTAGCCACTGTGTGAGTTTATGCAACGCTTTATGCGATTTTTTTTTTTTAATAAAAATTATGAACAGGGAATAACAGTTTTGATGGAAAAAAAAATAGCTGTTTCGAAGCTTAGATAGGTAATGTAGATAAAACATTTTAATCACATTTCATTTCCCAGATTAGCTCTAAATTGACTCCAAGTGCTGCCTGTTGTGGTGGGAAAAAAGCGAAAGGAACGAATTTGTTCTTCAAAAACGAGATCAGGTTTGTGGAAGTTTTTCTCTTTTTTTTTTCCCACCACGAATAGATCTCTTTTTACGTGCTGCAAAAATGATTCATTTTTAACTTGTCAAGAGCTACTTGGAGAAGGGGGCAATCTTATTCGAAATGGGAAAAGGTGTTTCACGTCTTTTGAGCGGAAAAACGAAAAGACATTTGTTAAGGTTATATAGCGAAAAGGTACTTGCACGTGTAAGGAAAATTTCGAACGTTTTAAATATATCTCCCGAAAGAGTCTATGTGTCAGGGATCAGAGCCTCTCCTGGAAACTTCCAGAGTTCATTCATGAGAGAGGCACATTTACATTCGAACTTTTGAAAAAAATTCCATGCGGGAACGAGAAAATTCCATTACATGGTTTTAAATTTGTCCTTCCCGCCATGCGTGCAAAATTATCCGGTTATTTTAAAAACTGTCCTGCAAAACAAATGGTGATTCATTTCCCAGGGTTGATACGTTATATTTTTCTCTTAGCATCCCATGCGCGTACGTGTGTACATCCCCTATGTGGTGGACATACAAGCAATTAGTTGCAGTTGTGTAATTTACACATGTGCGTGCCAGTTTGTTCCCCTGTTTAGCAACTTCCTGTTTTCGTTTTTTCAACTTTGTGCTAATTATAATTGCAAATTTTGCTTAATTTTGCCGCCTTAAAGCGGTTCGCAAAAATGGTGCATGTGTTATAAACGGGGAATAAATAGGACACGTCTTCCGTTACATAAAAAGGGGGGTTCTCTCAAAGGGGTAAAATTGAAAAAAAGATTTTCATTACATAGTCAAATTATACACAGTTCTGCATTTTTCCTATTTCCTTTTAATTAGCCTCTACGCGGCCCCTTAACGTACCACGTAATAAATAAAAACTTTTGTGTTCGTTTTCAACTTTCAATGATGAGAAAATTTGGCATGGATGGAAAAGGAAATATAAACTTGCGTCACCTCGAAATACGGCACATACTTCCAAAGAGCCTGATTTTGTTTCACAATTTGTGCTGAGGTAGGAAAGCGGCAGAAACAGGTACCCTAAAAATGTAGTATATGACTTATGCTTTTAATTAGCCTTTTCAAAACACACGTAAAAAATGATGAAGTTAGAAAAATAAATGCATAAGATGGGGACGCTTTTTTTTTTTCCTTTTCTTTTTTTTTCTTTTTCATTTTTTCATCAAAGTATTTACCCCTCAAAACATTTCCCAAACGTGTGATATGAAGTTCTTTTTTTTCTTCCTCTGAGCTAAGTGATACATTCGACACGACGAATAAGCATAGTTAATGTCCCCCGTTCTGTTAACAATCTTGTTAAAGTTTTTCTCCGTTTGCGAATAAACGTATGTACACGTAAGCCGTGTACATGTATGTAGGTACCTTCGTGCAATTCGAGCAAACACCCCCGTGAGTACCATCTTCGGCTGGAACTATACACAGAGCCTCTAACCCCTTGCTAAGGCATTTTCGATGAGAATTTCACAAAATGGAAACTACGAATGCCATCCAAGCATCCAAATTGAGTGAACAGAATGAGGCTAAGTCAGCGTACGAACAAATTGAAAAGGATAGAGTCCAATTGGTATCCAAGATAGAAGAGTTATATCAAGATGTCGTCGAACACAAGTACGATAAGCATGTTTTGCATTAATGTAAAATTGCACCATAAGTTGGCACCAATGCAGACATTTTCTTTTACCTTTTTACGTTTTTATCTTTTTATTTTATTTTTTTATTTTTTTTATTTTATTTTTTTATTTTTTTTTTCCTCTTTTTCCCTCTTTTGCGTAATAACTGCAAAGACTCGTATTGGAAGCCTTGGAGAATGTCCCTTCAGACAGACGGTGCTACAGAATGGTTGGAGAAATACTGGTCGAAAGAACTGTTAGTGAGATTAAGCCAGCTTTGGTAGATCATAAAAACAAGGTAAAAGCAGTTTTACACGAGGATATTCCACAGCGTGTGTTTTCATCTTCATCCCCAAATAAGACTGTTACAACATTTTTTTTTTTGTCTGTTTGGATGTGGAGCAAAGTTTACGACTTGGCTCAACCACACACGTGGGTGAGAGACGCTACTTCTTTACCACTTGTCCACCGCTTCTTCAACACTTTCGCAGGTGGAACAAATCATAGCCGAGTGCCAGAAGAAGTTGGACGAAAAAAACTCCGAACTTACGAAATTTGTGAAAAAGTAATTTTTCTTGTATCCTTTTTTTTTGTGCACTCCTTGTGGGTTCCCTTTCATGCTTGCTACTCCCCCCCCTTTGGTCTAAATTATCCTGATGTTTGCACCATTTTGAAAAAAAAAAAACTCCTTTTCGCAGTGCCAAAACGGCCATATCGCCAACTGACCTTGGTTCGAAGAAGCCTCAAGATAGCAGTGGCAGTTTTAGCGACAAGGACAAAAAGGCGGAAGGGATTATGTTTTAACAGCCCCAAGAAATTACCCTCTACATGTGTACTATACGTTTTTTCACCTTTTCTATTCGGAATTTTTTTTTATTTGTTTAGTAACCTGCCAAAGTGACACCATGTAAAGGTTTCATTTTTTATTAGTGTGTACCTACATGTATATATTCATGTATGCGTTCACTATGTATGCATTTGTTTTTCATAAGATGCTTATTCATTCTGTGTAAGATAGTTTCTTTCACTATGTGTCATATTTTTTTTTTTTTTTTTTTTTTTTTTTTAACGTGGGGAACTCAATTTTTTCCAATTAACGCCCCATGTGTGCACGCGCATGAGATGGCAACGTGCAGAAAATTACAAACACCTCTTACACTGAAGAGCCGTGCAAAAATTCACAAGGCGCTCAAACAAAGACGCATATATGATTTAAAAATTTTCACAAAATGTGACACAAAAAAAAAAGAAAATATGGCACTTTTGCCGATGGGCATGTATTATTCCCCTGCGTGTGCGTCTCCAATTCACTGTGGCTTTATTATCGGAAAGGGTAACACATTTTTGATCGAACTCGAATTTGTCAGCAGCATGCACAAACGATCTATTCCTATTCCCAGGCCTCCCGTTGGAGGCAAGCCGTGCATCAGGGCGGTTACATAATCGTAATCGATTTCGCGATTGTCATTTTGTATATGTTGCATGTGTTGCATTTTTGAGCTAATTTGTTCGCGTCCTTGGGGAAATTCCTCACCAGAGGGGGTACTCACTTGGTTTGGATCCCCTCGGATAGCACCTGAATGAGCATCATCCGGAGGAGCAAACCCCCCTGTGCAAGAGATACTGCGGTCTTCAACCTTTTTATACTTTAAAGTATACTGAGAAATGAACTTCCTTTCCTGCATTAGAGGGTTAGCCTCCTCCGAGTAACCATTCGCTATTTCCATGTTCCCTATGTACGTTTCAAACCGTTCGGAAAGCTTTTTATTTTTGCTTAACGTTTTGGCCAGAGGGGAAGTATCGGCAGGGAGATGATATATATGGACAGGGTGGTTATCTAAAAAGGGTTCCACCTTTCGTTTAAAAACCTCCTGAACGACGAGTCCCCAATTTAAGTACTCCTTCCCCTGATCAAAAGTTACGTTTAATTTCTTTGCTTCATTATAAGCTTGATCGAATGACAAGTTGAGAAAATCTACACAGGTGTAATCCTTTAGTATTTTCATAAAGGAAATTTTTTTCCATCTCTTTTCGTACAAAAAACCCTTATCGATACTGGAATGGAGAGAAAATTTCTTCGCCACGGTCTTTATTAACCTCTCAGTAAATGTAATCATATATTTATAATTGGAGTAGGCCTTGTAAATTTCGAGCAGTGTAAACTCAGGGTTGTGAATGGTACTTAGGCCTTCATTGCGAAAGCATTTGCTGAATTCGAAAATTTGTTCTGAAATTCCACTTATGATTAATTTTTTCAAATACAGCTCAGGTGCTATTCTTAAATACAGAACTGAATTGAGGGACTTTAGGAAAGTTTCAAATGGTTTAGCTGAAGCACCTCCAGGGATGGACTGCAATATTGGGGTATCTACTTCTAGGTATTTTTTTTTTAGCAAGAACTTTCTAATTTCTTGTATGACTTCAAATCTAGTAAGGATTTTTTCCTTTTCTTCCTTGTTGGTTAAAATGTCTAGGTATCTTTTTCTGTACTTATATTCAACATCTTTCATTCCTTTGTATTTGTCTGGCAAGGGAAGTAACGATTTCGTTAGCAAGAAAATTTCTTCTGTGTGTAAAGTTAGTTCTCCTCTTTGTGATTTTCTAACAAATCCTTTGATGGCTACGAAATCGCCTACTTCGATAATTTTTCTCACGCTTATTGAGTTTCCTTTGCGGGGAGCTTCTCCTTGTGTGTCCAAGGGGAATTGGCTTCCCTCTCCATGTGTATCATTACCCTCACAGTTACGGGAGTTAACTCCAATTTTCGCTGCACCTGAACACGTATTGTTCTTCCCCCGGTCATTCTCCCCATCGGTCGCTAGACAACCACTCCTTTTTTCCTCCGATTTGGTTCCCCCTTTAAGCACCACATGTGCATCAACATATATTTGTACAGTGCCACTATCATCCTGTACATTTAGGAACATTCCATCGTTCCGTTTGACTGTTACTCGCCCGTATATGACATACTTTTTGTTTTCGTCCTTTTCTCCACTTTCTAAATGCCCATACTTCTTCTTCAACTCGTCTATCTTTGTCGTTCTCTTTATGAAGGACGATGGGTAGGCATCAATTTTTAAAACATCGGATAGGAGGTTTAGCTTCTTTACTCGCTCAGAAAATTCCTTTCCATAGCTCTGCAGGGTGAACTTCTTTTTTCTGTTCCGAAAGGCGCTTCTTCTTCTCCCTATTGTAAGGACCCCCTTTGCTTCGCTACTGCCATGCTTGAAGCAACTTGAGGGATTACAAATGAGAGAAAAGGACCATAAGAAGGGCCATACAAAGGACCATACGAAGCACCATACGAAGGACCGCACCATAAGAATGACCATAGTGGTACTACTAACAGGTGCGGAGTAATTCTGCCCTTTTTCATTTTTTTCTTCTTTCCTTCAAAGGTGAAAATTTCCCTTCCTCTGCGTTGCCTCTTCACTGCCACCTCTGCCTTCGTTATCATCGTCGCGTGGTTTCACGCCGCTCGGCGCAGTTGGCGGCCTTCGCTCGGTCGAAGCGCATCGCGTTGTTTCGCTGATGTAGTGTTGATTTTTTTTTTTTTTTTACCCCTTCAGAACTGCGCGAAAGGCGTGAGCGCCGCAATCCCATTTAATGATTCACACGTGTACATACATGTAGGAAAAGCCTGAGCAGATATGCCATCAAACATTCGCAAATTTTCCAACATAATACTAGACATGCCTAAAAAGGTCTCTACAAGGTAGAACAAAAAAGACGGCAAAGTTTTCACGTTTTCACATTTTCACCTGGTACATGTGATTTGTTAATCTTTTATGTGTACAAAAGTTGCAACTCAAGACTTCTCCCACGTCGTAACTTATACAACATTGTAAAAACGAAATGAATGTCGTGAAAAAAGTTCTTCTGCTTCACCTTTTAGTTGCGTGTCAGCAGGTAGTCCATAAGGCACACGCGCGTGTTCTCGTGTGCAGACAATGATAAATGAGGAAGGAACATATGATGTGCACACCAATGGGGAGAATATAAAGAAGCATCCTTAACCTTTTCCTTCCCGTTGCTGTCTTTTGTATTGGTTACGGGAGTTGGATGAACAAGCCAACAGGTCTTCACTTCGCGGCAGTGCACTACTCTTTCGTGCACAATTCCAAAAGGATTACCTTTTTTTTTTTTCCATTTTAACATTATGCAGATACTATTCGCCCGGTCGAGCAGGGCAAGAAAGGAAGAAATGAACCCCTTGAATTTTCTGCCCAGCAGTTCTTTGCTGTACCCCCTGGATTTCCAGCAAAATTGGCAGGCGTCGGAGCCCACCCCCCTTGTGATTCACTACGACGTCCCGTAAAAACATGAACTCATGTGAATACACATATATATGTAGCTATCTGCACATTAGCAAACTGGCGAGGGATGAAAACTCTCTCCGACCCTCTTCCTAACGTTATCATGAAAGCCAAATGAGTCTTATGAACCGTTTCCTTTCTGTCCCCCCGCCACACACATACCTTCACCAATTAGGGCATATGGATACAAAGATTTACTCATGTCACTTGAGTACCACAACGATTTGGAACATTATGACAAAGAAAGGGTAACAAAAGGGGATGAATCGAAAAGTGAATTCGTCCATATGTACACATATTAATACGTGGGGGCACAATTTCTCTAATGCTTTATGTGAAACATTTCTTTAGCTAGCTCGATTGAGCTGGACAAAAAAATGGATACCATATTTTCGCCTTTTTAAAGGGAGAAGTAAAAAGAAGGATCATAGAAGAACAAAATAGGCTGGAAGAGAACCTCTGGCGGAAAGTACAACTGCTCAAGATGAAGGAAAAGTGCTGAATATGAGAAAGTCTATAGAATGAGTTAGAAGCCGCACACCTCCAACAGTGACATCCGCTCGAACATTTCTTCACCCATCTTTTCCACAACTTTCTCCTTGCAGAAATTTGCAGAACGGGAACTTCTTGAGGGCGCGCAAAGATCAGATATGACACAGCCTTTTCCTTTGCAGAGCGTGGAAGCCCCATTTGTCTACTCCGCCTTTTCTCCTTTTCTTTTCGAAATTTGCTTGTGCATTGTCTTTTTCGGTTTTGTTACATTCGGCTCTGCTTTACTCCCTATTACTATCTACCTGAAACGCATACTCTCAAAGAGGTTTTAACTGTATGATTTGTTATCCCCCCAATTAGGGCTCCGCAGAAGGGTGGAAGAGTTAGATTTACAAAATTGAACACCTCCAAAGAGATCACACTCGCGTTTGTGAAGGGGGACTAAAATGGGTGCATGAGAAAAGGGGAAGCATTTATATCGTTCCACCTGTTTCATTCCTGTTTGACTCCTTTTCCTTTTTTTTTTTTTTTTTCTTTTGAAATCGGAATAGGCACATAAGTGGACGAAATGAAGAAAGAGGCGAAAGTACTGCCAACCCTGCTATGTTTCATTTAAGAGGTGTAAAAAAAAGTTTCCCCCATCATTTGAAGTTTACACGTTGTGCGGGCTGCCCCTTTTGTGCATAACGAGATGGTAGACTTTTTCAAAGATACTTCACCATAAGGTGGTTGATTTTTTTTTTTTTTTTTTTCCTTACCAAGGGGTTATATAATTTCTTAAAAAAAAAAAAAAAAATGGAAAAGAATTAATTTCCCCTTGGGGGGTACAACAAAAAAACCACTTTGAGAATTTTTTCCTTTACAAAAGGTCGACTTCTTCCTCCACATTTTTAACAGAAATAAATTTAATAAAAAAAAAAAATTTCCACATACACACATTCGTCAAGGGGGGAGGTTGTATAAACTATGCTGCGTTTTAGGTCCCTTGCAAATTTTCTTGTTCTACGTTTTGCTACTTCCTGCCACGGCAGTGTCGTTCTTGTTGCTCAATGGTGCAAAGGTAAAGGGGGGGGGCGGATGCACCTATATATATATGTACACCCTAGTACCTACGCGCATTCATGGGCAGGACTTTTTTTTTTTTTTTTGCCCCTTAAAATAGGTGTGCACTCAACACATTGACGATGTGCATACACATCCACCCAGGGTGCACATTTTGAAATGTATAGATACCGCTCTTGCAGCGCAACGATAGTTTTCACAAAAGAATTCATTTATGCCCCGGACGGGCACAAAGGAAAACAAGCGAACAGTGAATGGATATGCTTCTTAATATTTCCTTTTCTAATTGTTGTTTTTTTTTTAATGAACAACGATGTGGTGATAGGAATGTGCAGAATTTTTATGCCATTTTACGTCTTTTTTTTTTTTCAACCATAGTGTTCCCGCCCCCACTGCAAAAAAAGATAAAAAAAAAGTGTGCCTCTTTCGCGCTTGTGTAAGTATGCACACAGGAAAAAAAACAAAAAATAAAAAACACATGCCTGTGTGTGTATTATACATACATGCCTACATACATTCATACGCTGCTTCACCGTGCTGCGTGAGAAGAAAATGAAAAGACTAGCACATGCTGAGGCAGCACATGGCGGCAGTAGGAAGTGTTGCATCGCAGCGTCCCCGATGGCTAAGCAAAACGTCCAGGCAGTGCATCACCAGGGAAAAGCGTAAATCCGGGTAGGAATGAATAACGTGAGGGTGTGTGGCAAGTGGGAATGTGGAGCAGCGCATGAAGTGGGAGAAATAAGCTCAAAAAAGGAAGCACAACAGAAAGAACAAAAAAAAACAAAGAAGAACAAAAAAAAAACAAAAGCAATATTAAAAAGTGTAACCACTTAAACAAATTAAAAAATAACATAAATAAAAGACACCAATAAAAAACATCAATAAAAAACACCAATAAAAAACACCAAGAAAAAACACCAAGAAATAACACCAATAAAAAAGACGTAAACGTAAACACAAATTCACCCACAAATCTACACTCACGAAAAATACTCCCATGAAAAAATTGTTTAGTCACTACTCAAGCTTTTTTTTTTTTTTTTTTTTCTGTCTTTTTAGCCTATTTCGCAAGTACATGTTGTATGTACCTTAGCTTACTTCAACTGAGTGACCGCTGAACAAAACTTCCACGTGGAAGTTTTAATTTTGCAGCTCAGTCGAAGAGTGATCTACACTTATAAAAATATTGAAAAGGAATTCAAAAAATGTTGTAAAAGAATTGAGAAAATATTGACAAAGTATTCAAAAAATATTGACAAAGAATTCAAAAAATATTATAACCACATTGTAAAAAAAAAAAAACACTTCATTGCCATTTTTATTTTTCCACTTACAATAACACCGTCGACATTGTATCCCCCCACGCACACGAGCGGCCACTCTGTGTTGATCTAAAAAAACTCCTACAGAGGTTAACTACCGCAGGGGCAAAAAAAAACAAGACAGATCTTTTCTTCACACTACGCTACACCACACTGCAATGCACTAAAAAATTGGCTAGAAAAAAAAAACTATTTCAAAGGGGGAAACTTATGTCCTACTTGTTAACGCCCGGTTGAGTAGAAACTCTTCCATGACGTGTTTTGCACAACCATCGGGAAAAACTTGATTTATCATTCGAAAGGGAATTACATAACCAGAGGTGACAAACACTCCACTGCGACAAGTCAAGCTTAGATATTTCATACCCAAGTGACAGCGGTATACTGGAACAGGGAGGGGATAGCACTCCAAAAATAAAAAGCTACTTGATAAATCTAAAGGTTGTGATTCACTAATGCCTTTTTCATTTTTCCCCCTCCCTTCCATTCCCTTCCCGTCTTTCTACCCCCTTTCTTTTCCGTTCCCCTTTACGAAAAGAAAGAATATCGGTCCACAAAATAGCATACTCAAATTGGAGATGAAGAACAAAGTCGCAGCAGAGGTGAGCAGCGGCAAAAACCGCTCTGCACTTCGCATACTCGCGAGGAACGAATGTAATGAGAAGAGTTACCTCAGGGAGGAAGACATATTCCTTTATAGCAAGCCTATGGATTTGATTTACTATTCGGCTAAGCCCAAACCATTAAATGGTAGCCCCTCATCAAGAGAGCTGAGCATGAACCGAACGGAGCGGAAAAAGAAAAGTGATGACTTGGTGGTTACTCACATTTTGCAAAATGAGAAAAATGACGTGATCTGCGATAATGGGATGTCACCAGAGGTAGGAGGTAAAGCCAGGAAAAATGACACCAATGATGAGAAGAACATCACGGGGATGGGAAGAGAACCTGTCTTCCGAAGGAACGACTCGTTAGAGATCAGATTCCGTCAAGGGTATATTCCCCCCAGGAACAGCCATTACCAAGGTGGAAATCATCCCCACCTGAGCTGCAAAATGGAAGGTACGTCCTATGACAATGACAAACGAATGCCACTGCCAACGCAATACGGTATGGAGGATCGACTACAGCCTCTGTACCAGAAGAGAGGGGAGAAAATCCCAAATGAACAAACCAGCATCCCCTCGTCCAGGCTTATAAAAACAGAATGGACTGCAAATCATGTAGGGGGTAGGAAAAACACCCATCAGGAAAAAACGACCCATCAGGAAAAAACGACCCATCAGGAAAAAACGACCCATCAGGAAAAAGCAAGCCATCAGAAAAATGCAACCCATGATGCTGATATCAGTGCGATTCCCGAAGGAAGAAACGACTTTGTTAAGATAACGAAAGAAGTGTACGGAAGAAATAATTACTCCTTCATCGATAAAAGCCGTACACATCAGAGGAACCAGATGAATGAAATGGAAAGAGAAAAAAATGGCACCAAAGGCAACAGCGGAAGTAGCACCACAAGACACAGAGAACATTTGGCAGATTTACCACATTTTGGAACCCTATATGATAAAGGGGAGGAGAAGGATGATGATGAAGATGCAGCCTACTTCAACCCTGCCAGTGTGATGGGACCAAACGAGCCGAAGAAGAGCACGCAGCTACGAAGCCGTGTTAATGAAGGCACAGTGAAAAGGGCAAACGGCTCGACAAATCAGGATGATTCCCAAAGTGAAATGAACAAATTTAACAATACTGAACAGAGTCTAAGTGACCTAATTAGAGCGTTCCAGTTGAAGAGAGCCCAAAATTTGAGGGTTCCATCGGGGGACTTACTCGGTGTAGACAACACCGAGGATAATTACGCAGAGAATCGTAGCGCTGCTCCAAAAAAGGAAATCAGCACCCGTTTAGACAACTCCACTAATGCTAAGAATGTAAATGTGGCTGAAAAATGGGTCAAGCGTTATGAAGCACCACCTCAAGGTAACGGACAAAAGATAGAACAACTCGAGGAGGGCAAAAAAGGAGCCACCTTAAAAATGAACCACAATAAGCAGATGCTGAACCCATCGAAATGGGTTCTAAAGGATCAATTTGACAAACCGAAAAGGAGCAAGTCCGACGATAAGACGTCTCTCCTATGCAATAACAGCGGTTTGACAGATTCGATCCACACATATGGGTACGCTCATGAGGGTGAAAACAAATTGGGACCTACAGAAAAATGCGGAGAAGACCAAATGGATTACTACTACCCACCTAGGGAATCAAATATAATCGAATTTGATGAAGAGGGAGGAAATAAATATCACCTATTGAACCATCAAAACGGTGAAAGTATCGATGGCTCCTACTCTGTGCAGGAAGGAAGGCCATACGAAAAGGTGCAGTTCATCCCGGAAAACTACCTCATGATAAATAGGGAAGAATATCATCCAAGTGTAAAAATTATAAAACATGAGAAAATTATTAACAGTCAGGAGAACCTTACCTATCCTCTAATGTCTGAGTTTATGCAGCCATTTGTGGGGAGCAAAGGAGAGCTAGAAAAGGAGGACTCCAATTGTGGCTCGTTTGAAGAGAGGAAAAGCTGCCCCGATGATGACTTCGTTCACCGGAAGGATAAGCTAAGTAGAAGTATCAACTATATTAGGCAAATTAAGAGGGCCAATGAGCAAGGAAGGTATGCGATTTCGATGGAAGAAAAGGTGAAGAAGACAAGACAAGGGGAGGAGCGTGCCAGGGGTGAAGAGGATGCATATTTCTTGTCCCCTCGTTTTGGTTCACTAATTCAGGAAGAGGTGGAACAGGTGGAAGAAGTGGGAAAAACGGGAGAAACAGGAGAAGCGGAAGAAGCAAGCGAAGTGAACCACATGAGAGGAGCACCATCCTGGGGTGAGAAAAAAAAAAAAACAGTGAACCCTTTGATGTTCTCCAAGCGCCATTTACGGGAAGGGTTACTAAATAAGGCAAGAAAGCAGGGCATCTCAAAAACTGGAAAAAATGACTACGCAAACTGGGCTCTGAAAAACGGGCGTGGTGCGCTGCCTCAAAAAGTGAGCAAACAGGTGGAAACACCGCCCAAGGATAGAACAGTCGAGTTGGTGCAAAGCGTAGACCTAGCCGAAGTGCACCTGAATGGTGAGAAGACACACACACACAATGGCCCCAATCGGACCAATCGCCCCAATCATCCCAATCGTCCCACCCTTTCAAACCTCTCCGATTCTCTAAAATTGGTTGAGCTAAAGCGGAAGGGGGAGATATGCAAAAATGGAGCAAACAGCATGCCGAGCGCCAAAAAGGAAGACTCCCCCATGAAGCACGACTATGTAAAGGGCGAGAAATACACAAAAAAACAGACAAACACAACATTACGTAGGTGCCCCAAAATAGGAAGCAAAAAAAATGACACCAACAAAGCACTTAAGATAAAATCCCCCTTCATTTCTAAGCAAAATAATGTTCCTATGTATGCAGTATCAATAGGTAACGAACCACTTAAGTCGATCAAAATGGTAAAGGAGGAACGACAACAGAGGAACCAGAACGGAAGTCAACAATACGGAAACCTGAACAGAACAGGCAGAATTATCTGCGAAAGGAAAAAAATGAAGAGCAAAGATAAGTCCATCTTTTTCCAAAAGGCAGCGTCTAAAAAGGACACAGATCAGAATACTCCACTAGAAGCAACCGAAAAGGACGACAAAAATAAGATCTATAACATTCCCTCTTGTCATAGCTCCAGCTCCTATGATCACCATCCTATTCACTCCCTCGACAATTCTAACCTGAGCTGTGACTCGCAGGAGACGCAACACGTCAGCACCTTGGCCCATATACGCAAACGGAATTTGGCCAAAATGAAGGAAATGATCTCCCGCGAAAGGGAAGCTTTGAGGAGAAGCGCCATCGTTCCGTACCCCAAAAATGGTGCACGAGGTGGGAAAGACTCCAAATGGGAGGTCAAGGGGGCAGGGAAAAGGGAAGACAAATGGGAAGGCAAAAGGGAACGAAAAAGGGAACTCAAAAAGGAAGGCAAAGGGGAACTCAAAAAAGAAAGCAAAGTGGATGTGATCCCCAAAAGGGAAACCCCAAAGGAAGTGATCCACAGAAGAAACTCATTGTGCAGGACGAAGAACGTAGCGCCCATTGAGACCTCCATCTGTGGAAGGTACGAGATAGGGAAGGGTACGAAGGGAATAATGGGAGGCAACATGGGAGGCGGCATGGGGCACGATTCCGTGGGGACCCAAATGGTAGAAGCCCACAAAGCAGACGATTACAACATTAGTGCCCGAAAAGCAATTTTAGCAAAAAACACCAGAAGGGAAAAATATCCTCTAGATATAGAAGCCTCGTACAAGTGCAAGAGCATTTACATAAAAATCAACGTAGATACAAATAATGAAGAGCTACTTAGACATACACAACAGAAGTTACCTAAGAGAAGTCTAGAATTTAAGTTATTCACGACCAAATTTGTCGATGGCTTCATTAAATCAACCGAATCCAAAATTTATAAATCATCGAGTATTATCTTGCAAAATGCAGAGACTGATGTTTTTTACAACATCACTATTCATGTCTACAGCAGTGTTGTGTCTAGCCTATGGCTATATGGATCCGCTTCTTTTTATCTGACCAAATATAACGTTGAACGATTTAAGATGAAAACGCCTTCCTCCGTCACATTTAACAAAAACGGGGATGTCAGAAATGGGGTGTTTAATGCGGAAAGAAGTGCACCTAGAGGGGTGTCATCTAGCGTATTGGCCACGGAAAAGAAAGCGGAGTCCAAAAGTGCCTTGGAAAACACTTCTGAGAAGGGAAAACATGGAGAACCCCTTTTCTTTACAAACTCGGAGGGACAAAACACGCAGGATTATCTGCTAGAAGAGGAAGTGAAAGACATCTCCCTCGAAGAGCATTCTTCCAGCTCCTTGGACGATTATATTTCTTCCGACGAAAGCGACGTGAGGATGGAAAATGTAAACATCGGAATTAATTTAACAGATTCCTCCAACTTGGTACATCAACATAAAAGTGGAAAGAGCTTCCATAATGGTGATGACCAGGGGATTCCTCAAGGGGATGACCCCAACGAAAGAAACGACTCTACGCGCAACGAAGGTGGCGTAAGCAGCTCTACCTATGACGAATTGCTCCTAAATTGCCACGAGATTAACAGAAGCAAAATAACGAATGATTTCCAAAATGTTCGGTGCGGTAAGGGGGACGCTCGCACATCTGGAGTGGCGACCAAGGACACATCTAACGGTGAGGAAGAGGATAATCTTCTTCAACATGATCACATAGGATCATCACGCGAACAAAAAGACCAAAGTGAGCAACCAAGTGGAAGTGAACTTCCACCAGTGGAAGAACCCAGTGAGAGTTACATAACTGCAACCGTTAAAGAGGAGGATCACCGTTTAGAAAAATCCCTCCACTATGACAGCTACTTAGATGAAAATAGCGAAGGGAATTTAAAATATACCAAATTTTTGACAGAAAAAGGGACACATAATATAATGCCAGATTCGACGAAACTGCTTTCAAATTCTTCACTAGTTAAAGAAGACACAACTTGTTGTTCTTTTATACTTTCGAGCACCCCGTCCTTTAAGGATGGCCACGAGAGTGGCAGCAGAAGTGTAGAATCACAGAAGGGAAAACCACCACCTGCTGGGGGTTCACCCCTCAAAAGAGACAAGAACAATTTCAAAACAAATTTGTTCAGAAGGTGTGTGTTTGGCGCCGCGACAAATATTTTCAGTGAAGACGAAAAATCCTCTAACGTGGAGGGACGCCTTCCGATGTTGGGTGCACAAAAAGAAAAGCTAGCACAGATAGGTCGCGTACTAAGTGAGAAATGGACAGAAGATAAAAACGAAAATCGTATGACCACTGTCCATGACGTGGAAGGCATCCCTAACGAGAATAATGCACACACGATTAAGACGCACCACTTGGGGGAGTTAACCCGTGCAAATTTTCCCCCAAACGGGAAGGACACAGCGGGAGACAATTCGAGAAGGCACCTTCATAACAGCTTTGTACAAATCCCTTCTATGGAAAAATGGAAAAAAGAAAATGGTCTGAGGAATGACTCGTATCTATCAAGCGGACACCCACAGCTAGCCGAGAAAGGACCCAATTCTACATCAAACCTCGTCTTCTCAAGGGATACATTTGTGTACAAAAACGAAAAAGTAGATGCAGGAGGGTTGGAGGCAACGCAGGAAAGAGATGAACAAAATGAGGTGAACCTGTTGAGCGAAATTAGAAATGCCAAGAAGAGTAATGATGAAGACTTCCCCCATTCGAGTGACCTCTTCATATCTGCCCAGGTAGAAGCAAAGCAATACACAAGTGGATCGGACGAACATGGACCCGTTTCCGGGGACATCCCTTCTCATGATAAGGGAGAAGAACTCTCGAAAGGTAATTTCCCAGCCGACAAAGCTTCCACATTTAGGGACGAGGTTGCCAAATGGAGTCAGCCCAACAGGTCCGATGCTAGGCACACGGTCGACTCCAACTGGAACAGATGGATTCTGAACAAAAATGGAAATGTAGTCAATAAAACAAGTGCTCCTAATGGGATGAGCACGCAGAATAGCATCTCGAATGGTAAATCGGTTCACAAATCCGACCCATGGATGAACAGAGGTTGTTACCTGCCACAGGGCAAGTACGCTCTGCCAGGGGCGTCTCCTTACAAAACAAACGAGAGTAGAAGCGTCGCCATGTACAATCCGATGTCCAACCCGGTGTGCAATCCGACGCATAGTGTCATGCCAGACAAGTTAACAAAATTAAAGAGCAAAAACATACCAGTGCAGTTACGCACACGTGCGGCGGAGGGAAAAATGAAGTGCGCACATCACCCCTATTTTAACGAAACCAACGGGATGGTAAACTTACCAAACAGAGCTTACTTTCTTCAGGGGAACAATACAGTGGGGCATAAATTAGGCAGACATTTTGAAAATAAGTTCGCCCCAATTGGGGAGGAACGTTCGTCAAGCGGTTTTCGAAGCGGTTTGCGAAGTGGCCTTCCAAGCGGCATTACCAACGCGGCGGAAAAAAAAATACACAACTCAGAGGACCTATTGTACAAGAGCAACAACTACAAAAATGTCCGATGTGCGCACTGGGCTGTGGACGTCCCACCTCTTTACAACACGGGTAAGTCTGTCATCAGTAAAGATCGGTATGTGGAAATTCCCCACTACACTCTGAGACAGAATTACAATGGAGCGAACTGTCCAAGTAGACCCACACAAATGGCTACCAAACAAAATGCCGAAATGTATGCAAAAGAATCTGCACCCAAAATTATCCCGTGTGAAGACAGCATCACGAAAGATACAACGAATGATGGTATAAACCTACCTCTTAGAAGAAACAACCCTGAAGAGGACGGGTTACCAATTGTGGGGGCATTTCTCCACAACGAGGAACCCAAAACGGCCGCAAATAATTACCCCTCAAGTGGAGGCAATGACCCCCATAGGGACCTTAACCAGGCGGGAGATAACAGCTCTTACAAGAAAGAACCCACTCCCACGTTCCAGACGTACGTCAATGGGGAAATAACGGACTGTCTCCAAGGGGGGGCCGTATATGGGAAGGGGGGATGCAGCAACGGTCAGAAAAGCAGCAACCCGATCAGCAGCGGAGAGCAGAATATGAACCCACTCAAAAGCGGACAGCAAAATATCAACCCACTCAAAAGCGGACAGCAAAATATCAACCCACTCAAAAGCGGACAGCAAAATATCAACCCACTCAGCAGCGGAGAGCAGAATATGAACCCGATCAGCAGCGGAGAGCAGAATATGAACCCGATCAGCAGCGGAGAGCAGAATATTAACCCGATCAGCACCGGACACCGGAATATCAACCCACTCAGCAGCGAACAGAAGAATATCAACCCGATCAGGAGCGGACAGCGGAATATCAACCCACTCAACAGAAGCTTCCCCAATGGGACCCACACTCCAACAAACAAACTCACTTCCACCATGCAGGGCAGCACCGACAGGCACCTACGCCAAAACGGCTCACCAAACAGCCGACCCTCACTATGCAACCCCATTGTGGGAGCCAACATGCCCAGAGTAAACAATAACATTAAAATGTTCGCCTTTAACGAGGAAGGCATAGCAGCTCACCTTGAAAATCAAAAAAAGAACCAAAACCAGGGAAAGAAGAACCACCTTTACCCTTACATGCAACAAAGTATGCACACCTATGGTACACGAATGCCAAACAATTTTTATCACTTCAAAAATGGATCCTATGTACCCAGTTGTACTCCTCCCGATGATGTAAAAATGAGAGCAGCATGCCTAAATCAGCATGCAATGAATAATAATCAAACTGTTTTAAAAAAAAAAAACGAACATTATTTGGGAAGGGCTGCGCCAAAACCCGGCATGTGTACCTATACACCATTTGGGGATAATCCATATGCTCCACAAAATAGTAGCTTACAAGAACAGCACCTCAAAAAAGGTAGGTTTCTATATACCCAAGGATTGCCAAATGTAGCGACGGAAAATCCGTTTTCCCTTTTTAAAACGAACGCAGAGAAGTTAAGTGGCGCTGTAAGGGCCACTGCCAGTGGTAACTTCATCCCTGTTGAATCTGCGGCACACCATGTTGATAAAAATGTGCAAAGCAAAGTTGGTGCACATGCCCCCTGCGGTCACGCCCGTCGGGTTGTGGTTCCTGGTAGAGCGGGACAGTTCCCTTCCCCCTACGTTCATTGGCCACAATGTGCACCTCATAACGCGCTTCACATGTTACCCCCCAACGCGAACCGCAGTAGCCCCCAAATAAATATACACAGAGAGAAGGACAACCCGAGTGGCATTTCTCCCCCTGATTGGCGTAGTTCCCCCTTCAGTGGCTATAGCCCCCAAGGAGCGAGTCTGATTAAACGGAATCCCCCAAGTGAAGAACAGAAAGTGCAAGCTGGATATCCCCTCAAAGTTTTAGCCAAGCAGCCGAACCCACTTGGGGCCAAACTAGCCAGCTCGCTTGCATCGCCCAACAAGGTAAAGGGGAACACACACCGAGCAGTGACTTTCCTCGACGAGCCTTTGATAATAAAAAATGACGCCCATCACGATGGTGCACATCAAAATAGACCATTTCAGTATGGCGTGCATGAAAATAACCCATTTCAATATGGCGTGCATCCAAATCAATCCCCTCTCGAGAGTGCCTCCCACATGACTGGGCAGCACAAACTAACCAGTGATGAAAAACTCAGTTCGAGTGCCAAAGCAAACATTCCCCACCAGCCAAACAAGTGCATAGAATGGGAGAAATCCGAGGAAGCACCCAAATTCGATCTAAAGTACAACGAAATCAATTTTAAAAGCCTCCAGTGTATAGAACAGACAAATGCCCAGTTCGCGGATCACTTATATAACATGGCCAAAGGATGCGATACAGCATGTTCTGAAAGGGAATATACGTACGCAGATAACATGTGTGTGAAGCGAGAAAATTCTTTGGAAAGAAACAGAAAATTTTCTCCCTTCTTTGGATTACGTAATAGTGGCAATCATTCAAATACAGAGGATCACGCAGAGTGCACACAGAAGAAAAGTCCAACAACAAAATCGTTTCAGTTGAGTATTCAGCTGGGAGAACGCGAGTGGGGGAAAATTAAATTCACTTCTGAAGATATCCTTGATGATAAGATTAACAAATTTATTGAAAGTAATAACTTAAAGAAAATCTTCTTATCTCCCTTGCGAGAAAAATTGAAGTACATGTTGCAGAAGGATGTGTCCAAGTGGAGCATGAGCATTACAGAGATATTGTGAGAGGTACCTCTGCTTCAGTGCAATTCTGTCACGAATATCAGAGTATGCATGTCTGTAGCGTGATAAATGTAGTTACATTACTCGTATGAGTACCCGTTCCTCTCGCTCTCCCCTTCTTAGGTGGACATTTTTGTCCTTCCCCCTTTTTGAAAGCCTTTCGAAAATGTTTTGAATATTCGCATCCGTTATAAGTGGTAATATTCTTATGGCTTTTTTTTTTTTTTTTTTTTTTCTACCTTAATTGTTTCTCCTTTTTGTCTCAGTGTGACCAATCATTCCCGCATGTGGGAGAGGGGCCAATTCGACGCGCTGTTTGTGTCCCTTCCACGGCATATGTAGAAAGACCCCTGCCTTGCCCCTTTGCGTCATTTTTGTTGTTTTTTCTGCCCACCGCAAATAGAGCGCTTACTCGTAACGCTCACATTGTTTTAGTTACACGCAAGAGGATATTTACAACTTTGAAAAAACCCAAACAGAGCAAAAAAAAGAAAAAAAAAACTCCTATTTTTTAGAAAAATTGCAGCATAACCCGGGAACCCCCCCTCACGCGAGCTTTTCAACTGCCATTTTTCCCTACCATGTGTAAATTTATTTGGCGCGCTGGCTTCTCACATTGCAGGGCTGACTATGCTTTTCTGTTCGGGTCAGCTCCTACTTGGTTTATTTCCCTATTTTGTTTTTCCCTGTTTTGCGCCTCTTAAGCGCATTGCGCAATTTTGATAGCAGTTGGGTACCCGCTGGGTAGCGGCTGAACAGTGGATCAATACCCGTTGTACGAATTTCCGAACATTTTTATGCTCCCTGGACCGGCCGCCACAGGCACCACGAGCACCCGTTGAACGGTAGGCAAATTAGAGCAAGGCGCTTTCATCCGTTTGGTTAATTTTCTACTGGATTGTGTGTTTAAATGGGGAGGTGCAAAACGATGAGTGCGCAGCAGGTATGCGCATTTGCGATAAATGAGTCACTTGCGGACATGTGAAGGAGGGGAAAATAAACTGATGTGTACTTTCGTGTGTGACTTTAACGATATGCACCGCGGTGGTAGATACTACCACGGGTGCGGTGGGGGATGCACCCGTCGTGATATCGTTCGAATTAGCGTGGAACGTACTTTTAAAGAGGGTTGTAAAAATGGATAAATGGTGGTGGAGGGGCTATTAAAGAGACGGTTAAAAAAAAGCCTCTTAACGCGCCGCTTAACGTGCCTCTTAACGTGCCTCTTAACGTGCCTCTTAACGTGCCTCTTAACGTGCCTCTTAACGTGCCTCTTAACGTGCCTCTTAACGTGCCTCTTAACGTGCCCCTTCAAATGGAGGAAAGCGGGGTGGGCATGCGGTAGACCCGAAAGGGAGGCAGCCGCTCCCACGCGGTTACCACGCGGAGCAATCTTCCACCGCCTCAAATCTCTCTAGAAACAGCCCTGCTCGATGTACGACTCCGCAACCTTCAAGAAGCCGGCAATGTTGGCCCCCGCCTGCAAGTCGTACTTATCCTTTGTATACTTCAAAGCATTTTCCGAACATGCCACGAAAATATTTTTCATAATTTCTTGCAGCTTCTCATCTACGTCTTCCCTGGTCCATTTCGTCAACTGAAAATTCTGCGCCATTTCGAGTCCACTAATGGCTACCCCCCCAGCATTGGCAGCCTTGGAAGGACAAAAGACGATTTTATTGGACTTAAAATAGTTAATGGCGTCGACAGTGGATGGCATATTTGCTCCTTCACCGATTAGCATGCATCCATTTTTGTGTAAATTCTTGGCATCTTCAAGGTTTATTTCATTTTGAGTAGCACAAGGGAAAGCTAAGGTGCATGGAACACTCCAAGGTTTCTCATTTGGAAAATAACTGGCTGTTGAAGAGTGCTTCAAATAATCTTTAATTCTTCCTTTTTTCACCTCCTTCAATTCTATGATAAAATTCAGGTCGCTATTTGTGAATCCGTTTGGTTCGAAAATGTATCCATCACTGTCACTTAGGGTTAGGACCTTTACATTCAGTTGTAGTAATTTTTGAACACAGTAAAGGGCTACATTTCCGCTGCCACTAACTACTGCTGTTTGTTTTTCGACTGAAACGTTTAGCGATTTTAAAACCTCCAAAACGAAGTAGACTAAACCGTAGCCTGTTGCTTCTATTCTTAAGTTGGATCCTCCCCATTTCACGTTCTTTCCTGTTAAAGTACCATTAAAATGATTCGCTAACTTTTTATACTGGCCGAATAGGTAACCTATTTCTCTTCCTCCAACTCCAATGTCCCCTGCGGGGACGTCTGTACATGGCCCTATATGTCTGTACAGCTCGTTCATGAACCCTTGGCAGAATTTCAGAATTTCGCTATCTGATTTTCCCTTGGGGTCAAAATCCGATCCTCCTTTTCCTCCTCCCATGGAAAGACCAGTTAAAGAATTTTTAAAAATTTGTTCAAAGCCCAAGAATTTCACAATGGATAAATTTACGGACGGGTGAAAGCGCAGTCCTCCTTTGTAAGGACCAAGAATGCTATTAAACTGAACTCTGAAGCATCTGTTCTTGCGTTGGATGCCACTGTCGTCTATCCAGCACACGCGAAATTGGACAACGCGCTCAGGCTCTGATAGCATTTCGATGATGGGAAGATATTTTGGTTCTTCCATAAAGAGGGGTTTGAGTGAGTAGAGAATTTCATGAAAAGCCTGCAAGAATTCTACCTGATTGGCATCTAATTGCTTTACCCTCTCGTATACTTTGTTCATTTCCTGCTCGATCAGGGCTTCGTAGTTTCCCGAGCTTTTGTCCACCACCAAGAACCTCCCCGTCGAGTCGCGCTCCTTTTGCATCTTGTCAGGGGGGGGAGGAAATGGGCGTAAAATGGTGCGAAATTGGCGAAATAATGGCGTGAAATTGGCGTAAAATGGCGTGAAATTGGCGAAAGAATAGCGTGAAATTGCCGTAAATATTTCCGTAAAATGGGCACAAACTGGCCCAGCGCTGTCGTAGGAAAAAAACTGCTCGCTTAACTGTCTTATCGGGAAAACGCAGTTACAGCAAGGGATTGAAAATGGCAGGGTTCAGGGTTAAAAGGGCTTATGCGCAGAGAGGTTAAGGTGGGGCAACAAGTGTGGATGTGTGTGCTCATTTACATGTAAAAAAAAAAAAAAGGAAAAAACATTCGAAAGGGAGGAATTGAATTGAGCAGATTGGTTGGAAAGGCGAAAATATCACTGCAAGAAATAAATGTGTTGGAAGAAAAAAAAAAAATGATGAGAGATGAATGATTACTTATGAATGGAAGAGCAAAAATACAGCATGGAAAAGGGCCGCGTGAGCTGAGCTCTATTTTTCTGTGTCAGTATTACCGCTAGACAGTTTCGCAGAGGGGGGTACTTGTTTGTTGCGGAATTATTTTTGCACTTGAAATTTTGAGTTGTCCTTCCAGCATGTAGACCTTTAACCTTTCACATCCAAGTGGGTATGTACATACGTACGTGCGTGAGGTGTGTAACATGTGTAGTTTTTTTTTTTTTTTTCTTCTTCTTCTTAAAAAAGTGTTTACTTACACACTTTGGAGAAGCATGCAAACGATGCAAAATGTACCGCGTGCAATTGAGCGTTTACAAATGGATCCATACAAATGAGTGCTTACAAATGGACGCTTACAAAGGCGTACTTACGAATAACCACTTAGGCATAGGCCCTTACACATGTACCCGCTAAATGCGAAGGGGGAGACGTGACCAGGTGGCAGCGTAATCGCGCAAGTTAACCCAATTTGCCAGCGTCAACAATCTGGCGCCTGTATTTAACCCCACGCTGTTTTGGGGGGCCAGTATATATTTGGAATAATTCATATGTACATATATATTTCCTTCTTCACATGTGGTGGCCTCGAGAAGGAACACATCTTTATGTAGAAAAATGCAAAGTTAAAAAAAGGAAGTTAATTTTGACGTCCACTTGTTAAAATGTGGATTACACCTTTTCATTTCGCTGGTCTTAGTCCTCTGAGTGTTTCTCCTGCAATTGCACAAGTTGCTCAACGAATGAAAAAATCAGCCAATGTGTCCAGCAATGATGCATTGTGTTTTTAGGCATATGCCTTTATTATTATTATTTTTTTTTTTTTCAAAACTCCTCTTGCGTCAAATTTATTTTAGCACGTCTGTGTGTTTTTGCGCTGCTATGTGCTGCGTTTGAAGGCTGCTCCTTTTTGCAGTACAGTAGAGTGTATTACATTTTTTGTACAATTTGGTCTTTTTTTTTTTTTTTTGGTAATCCTTTAAGGTTAGAAGAGTTCCCCATTCATGAGGGTAACTTTCCTTCCGCCAGTGCACTTGGAATGACGAGTCACTGTTTTGATAACCCCTCCCCCGCAGAGGCTGGAAGTAGTGGAATTTTATTTTTCGTGAAACGGGAGTATCGAATGTGTTTACACTTGGGGTTGGGCTTTTTCATTATGCTAATTAAGAACCCAGCTAAATGGAATTAAGCGGCAGAAGAATTCGCCTGACACGGGTACCCCTAAACTGTTTTATGCCCACTTGCTGTGTTTCCGTGTGGAGGGAGCACTCCTGCATAATCCCTTCGCAGTACCTGTCTTGGCATAAATTATAGCCTTCGTTTCAGTAGAACATTCAAGGAGATACAATTTTCTTGCGCATGTGCGTGAATCGCAACAGAGGCACACCTCGATCCTCCTTCCACTTGGGGCCAGAAAAAGCGCCACATTTCTTCCTTAAATTTTTTAACTTTAGCAAAGTATTTTCATTCTTTCTGGTTCCTATTTATAATAAGACAGAAAGAAAAAGCTAAGGGGCGAGGCGGAGGTTGTTTTAAGGAAAAAATGGATTAGGGTTGCACGGCTGTATCAACACATTGGGGGGTCAAGTGTGTCATAACTTTTCGGGTCACCAAAAATATTTTGAGTCAATTTATCAGCTGTGAAAAAAAAAAAAAAAAAAGACATCGAAAAGTGTATCTACAAGGATTGGTAAGTGGTGAACAACCGTTCGTTTCTGTCGGCGCCTAGGTCATTTTGTTTTGTTCCGCTTTTCGTGCTATACTTGTTTATTTTATTATTTTTACTTTATTTTTTTTTTCCGCGTCCCACACGCTTGTTCGATAGACTTCTCAGTTGGACGAAAGGAAAAAAGGAGATTCTCCAAATTTCCATGTGAATGAGCGCACGTAAATAAAATTGTCTCGTAAAAACAAACCAACTTTGCATTCACAACGGGGGGGAACACATACCAAGTGTAATATGAATCATTAAAGTACCGCATTGCTATTTAGTTTGTTTACCAAACAATGAGACCTAATGTGTGCTACAATGAATATGCTGAACAAAGATACCATTTTGTTAAAAACGAAGAAATTAAAGAATCTATGCGAGAATGAGGGTAAGGGCATCACGTGCGTGCTTGGGGGTGTACATGCAGGTATGCAAAATTTCCCCCTTTGTGTCCTAACTAGACGAAGGCATCATTCTCCTTTTTTTTTTTTTTTTTTCTTCCCCCTATGATAGAAAACATAAACAGTCAACATTTAAAGGCCCTAATAGAAATATTAGAATACTTCTTCGAAACATACAATGATTTTTTTCTATCCTCCGTCGTGTGGGAAGTGGTTGATAAAATGAGTAATTTTTTCATTATGTTTGTTTGTAGTGTGCTAACCTGAGGCACTTCCGTTTTTGTTTTCCCTCTATACAATTCGTCGACTTCTCTATTGGAGAAAATGTGCAAATGTAGTCACTACATGTGAACACATTCAGGTGTCTATGCTTCTGTGTGTATATGTATGTATTCATGTATATATGTATGCTGCGATGATAAGGCGAGATTAACTACACTTGGTTCAAGTGAAAACTTGCTTTCCCTCATTTCCCTCTCTCATAGTCATACTTGAAAACACCATTGAAGAAAAAAAGAACATCGATGTGGACTTAAGAACCTCCATCAAATTCTGCGAATTTATTTTCAACAAATTAATCGCGTACACGAATTATGAAAGTGACAACCTGAAGTACTTCTTCAGCTTCAGTTTTTTGCGGCGCCACCTCTGCTCCGTGTTAAGTTCGTTTCTAAACTGTAGCAGCTCGTCCTTCCGGAGGAAAGTAGAGTCATCCTTCACGACAGATCTGTAAGGTTCCGGGGCGCCTACATATAAGTATATACATGTGCATTTCTGTTGGCGTAAGGCCCTCCAGGAAATGTGGCCCCACATCACGGCCACCGTGTTACATGTCACGGAGCATGGATGGGTCTAGCCGTCCCCGAAGCACACGAAATGTGATCAGAAGCACAGGACGAAACGTTGCGGGTTCATCCGCCTCCTCCCATGCGCATGTACCAGCAAACATTCGTGCTACCCCACCACATTGGGCAATCACATTCCGATTCTTCCTCTTCACGAACCACATCTACACAACAACTTATTCCCACCCCCCCCTCCGTTTCTTCGTCAGATTAACCCTAACAAAGCAAATCTTCGAAAAGATAAAAGTCGAAAATGATCTGGAGCTGAAGGTCTGTTATACAGAATTTTTGTGGAGGTCCTTCAGAAGGATCGACTTTGCTACATTCAACATCAAAGGGTTGCATGCAAATATAAACACGTTAGAAAAGTTGAAAAATTTTAAGATTTTTAAGTTCGATGAGGAGTGCATAAATTGGCTCAAGGAGGAAAACTACATGGACAGAAAGATCGTCATTGAAGATGGTTAAGAAGTTTGTTTTTTGTTTTGTGGCGGGTGGTGGTGGTGTTCCCACGATTGGGCTTTTGTTTGGAGTCTCCACAGGTTGCCTTCGCACAGAATACCACTTTTTCGCGCTTCCCATTTTACGTTCCATCCCTTTTTCCCACCCTTACTGCTTAGGACTCTTCACCATAAGGGGAAACAAAAAATACGTGAACAAGGACTTCATCCTCTGCTACTTGGGGAAGTGCTCCATATTTTTGTACTACGTACTGTCCACACGCCGCCAGGCGGAACAAAGCGAGAAAAGCGAAAAAAGGGGAACGTAGCGGAATAGGGCCAACGCAGCAGAGATAGCTGACCCGAATAAGTACACACACTCATGTATACCTGTCCATATTTACATGCACATACACATGGGTGTATTTTCCCTCCCCACTGGCTACCACAGGACAACCCCGAAGAAGATGAAAAATGCAAAATAGAGGTCCCATACTACCACATAACTTCAGTACACTTTGAGGGCAAAAATGTATTCACCCTGGACTGCAAAGCTATAATAGACCAGACGAACATATTCAGCCTGTGGTAATGGCCATTCGCCGATCCACCCTTTGGGAAACCTCCCCACAGCTGCACCGCCCTTCCACGTCACCGCGATACCACTTCACTGTGATACCGCTTCACCGGGCTACGGCTTAACCACTCAGGGGGCAAGACATAAGGGACGCCGTCGACTACGAAAGCATCAACAAGTTCAGTCTATCTCTAGACATCAAGAGAAATTCGAAGGAGGTGAGGAGATTCCTAGACAAGTAAGAAAGCCAGGCAGGAAAAAAAAGAAACAAATCACAAACTGAGAGAGCACGCAGAGGCAGATGTGCGTAAGTATGATCCTATGTGTGAAAATTTCTTCTATTCCTTTTGTATTCACCTTGCTGCTCACATAAGAGTATCCGTGAAACTAAAAAAAGAGGCGAAAAGAAGCAAGAGGGAAGATCACCAGACGAGGAGTCGTCATGATAAAAAGGAGAAGGACGACAATAGTGATGGAACAACTGCCACTAGCGTAATGCCAAAAGGGGGATAGAAAAAGAATAATAATAAATCAAAACGAGAAGTACCAAGGGCAGACATAAATCT